TTAATTCAACTTTAAGTTTTTCTCTAACTCATTTGTCTAGACCGACTATTTATTAGTTTCCGCTTTATGGTTTTCAAGTCACTTGATGATTTTGGATCATTCTTTTTAATTACGGGAAAATGACTAAAAAAATATCGGTGCGGTAAATCTTAACACTATGAAATTGTCGTTAGTGGTCTTAGAATTTACAGCATTGATCGGTACTCTTTGGTATGAGAGGATATTTACATTGTGTAAACTGAATTAATCTCGTAAATTAAAGCCACTGTTATGAATTGTACGAACTAGCCCTTCAGAATTTGCGTGTTTTTCAGGTTTTACTGTTGATAGAACTTTCAATGTAGTTTTACCGCAAAAATTATTGTGGTGGGGAGCAAACGTTCCAACAAAAGATCATCGAAATGTTTCATTCAGAGAAAGCATTTGAGTCTGTTTTTCATCATCATGAGATTACAAGCATTCAATCGAATTCTTCATTCAAAAAGTATTTCTTGCAGCATAATTTTGGTTGTCCAAAACGCAATGAAAGTTTCTCCGTTAGATGTAAATATTCCCTTACCTTACTCCATCAGCAATTTTGTCCGCACCGAACAAACCTAAACAAAAGGCTTTTTACCCCTAGCTCATTTTCAATGAATTGTACAAGAGGTGTCATAGAAATTAACGAGGTGAAATGTTTCGTTGATTGTACCGACACAAAAAACCGTCATCCTAGCTAACTGGTCGTAAAACTGTAGATAAGTAAGTCCTTTGTTACTTCTACGACGATTTTCAGTCCTATGGCGCGTTTTTCGGTGAAAAATTGCCTTTCGATAATTCGTGAAAGAAACTTTAGTTTTTGATTAGGCAGAGCGGTTCGGTCTTTGCACACACACTTACAAGATACAATACCGCAGTTGGGTAGATTATGAAAAAATACAATTCTTTAGAAATTTGTTTAAAGAGTGAATCATTAAAAGCGGTAAACGAAGCCTAGACAATGGCTCTCAAAAGACCCACGACTATTATAGATGATTCATTAAAATTGTTTGTTTCCAGTGCTAAACAACGTTCCTTTCAAATACGATATAATAAAATATAAATGAAAAGCAAAATAAACTGAGAAGGAATTACCATTAAAAATGCTGGTGGACATCATTAAAACTAAATATAGTGACTTTTGTTATAAAAAGGAAGGCTGCCAAAGGAAACGTTTAGACACCATTCGTCTAGCGATCTACTGACGTTTCAAGCCAAATAGAAGAAAATAGTAGCAGCAACATTATTCCTTAGGTAAGAATCTGTACTGGCTGTTGTTTAAAAGGAATCTTTGATCAGTGATTTGACTGCGTGTTGCGATCGATAGTTCCCTTTTTGTTGTAGTAAGTGATTCACTTTTTAAATCTAAAATCTTAACTTCAAAACGGCCGAATACCGAATGAAGCGTCTTCAAGGTTCTTTTAGGAAGTATTTCTGGATTGGAAAGTTTTTGTACAGTCTGGGTACAAAATTCAAACGATTTAAAAAAAAATTGACTGTTGGAAACAACTAAAAACAACTTTCATATAATACTACTTTTACTTGAAATATTTTTACCGGCTAATTCCCCTGTGTAATGGAGTTACGAAAAAAAAAAAAAAAACGTTTTCCAATCCAAAAATTCCGTTCGTAACTGAACTTTTTCTTCACTCGTTTTCCTTTATGCTCTTTTGATTCCCTACGGATTTTTCCTCAGAAAAATGCGCCATATGATACCGCAAACGAAGAATGAAACACCCTAAGCAAGATGCGACCTTTAATTTTGAAAAGTTTCTTTATTAAGTTTGTAATTAAACAGATTGTTATTGTTCGAATATGAAAGCAGATGTATATTTCCCTAGGGTAGATTAAGTTTTAGCATCATAGTAAACAACTTTAAATTGAAAACTGAAAATTTGTTAACGGTCGTTTTGAGGAAGGGTTAATTAATTGTCGCGCGTAAGAGAGTGCATTTACGTTGATAAGTTTTGCAAACTGTAGAAGTCAGCAGAATTTATTCAGCATCAACATATATCATTTCAAAGGTAGGAGAACTGGTGTTAACTGTTGCATTCTGGTTACTACTCAGTAAAAAAAAAATTGTACAATATCCATACTGCTCAGTATATTTGTGTAAAAAAACGTTGTAAAGTTATGCTTATTCTAGCTGCGCAAGCTGTCAGATTTCAGCGGCAAATAATGCCGTACATAAATTTCTCCGTGCGTCAAATGATGCTTTTAAGCAAATGCAGAAGACCCTCAGCAAATAAGAAATGTTTTTCGAGAGGCGACATAGGCGGTTCTATGGCACAGTTTTCAAAGCTTTTTGAAAAAATACCCCAGTGGCCTTTACTTCATTCTGGATAAATTTTGACCTGTGAGCTATGAAATTTTAGGCGTTTTGCTAAACCAGAATATATAATCATTCCGTTTTCAGGCTTAAAACTCAACGTTAAAGACTTTTTAAACATCTGTGGTGTTTGAATTCGTTCCCGCGAAGCTTTTTCAATAGCTATCTGAACACAAGTAATTTCTGCACCTGGCTGTGCTTTAGAGACCGAGACGGATTTTTTCATAATTTTTAGCAACCTTCATCTGTGAATATCGCTGGTTTTAGAAGGTCACCGTAAAGTCTAGAAAGCCGCTCAATGATTGATTAAGTAAAAGGAAAGATTCCACAGCAATTAAAATTATTCCGTTTGTTTTGCACTTTATTTAAAAAGTCTGAATTACTCCTTTCCTCGCATCAAGTGATTTATATCTTTTCCATAACTAACATTAGCTTTCCGAAACTGTAATGGCTTCAGTTGTTTGTTGTCAACACTTATCAATTCTAGGAACGCTCTATAGCTTCTACCATCGATTTAGTACGTAAATACGAACGATTAATTCTAACAAAGATAATGGTTGTCTTATAAATTGAAGTCAGTTGAGAAAAATAAATTACGAGAACATTCATCACTGGGCAGTTCGCTCTCCATTCCGCGCTTTGCTCATCAGTATTGATTGTCTAATTACCTGTAGTTTGTTATTCAAGTGTAGTCATTTACAATCCGTATCGATCTTGTCCATTCCCAGCTATCCGTGTACCTTCTTGGTATATTGTTGCCTCTGTCGTGTTTCTCTATCTTACCAAACTAATATTTTGTAGTCATTTGCAATTCGTGGCAGTCTTCCCTTTCCTTAAGCCTCCTCTTTCCATATTTATCCATTCTTTCCAAGTTAACTCCGACTGCCCTTTATTGTCAACTGATATTTTTGTGCCCTCCTTCTCGTTGTCAGCAAGTTTTCTTTTTACTTTATCTCTAGGTTTGAGTATAATCTATTGACAATGAAGAACGTTCTTCTTACAACGTTGGCCGTTTTTTTAATCACTGTAACACTGGTCGGACAGGTTCAGTGTGTTCTCAGAGCTGGAAGAGACAACATAATGATTCCTAGAAAAGGTGTTCGCGAAGAACTCGAAATAATGCATAACCAAGCGAAGCCGGTTTACGCCAGAAAATCAGGTTATAGACGTGCAAGACCTTTTGGCAATGAAAATGAAGGTATGTTGCATTAGTAGCCGAATACACTATTATTTTTTTTCTCAGTTCAAGAGCGGGCGGTATTCTACAAATCCTGCAATCTGATTGGTTCCGAGAGCGGGCAGTATTCTCCCCATCGGGCCCGCTCACAGCGGGCGGTTCTTTTCGCAACCATTTGTTAGGTTTTAGAAAAAAATAAAAATGTTATTCACCAGCCAAGGTCGGTCCGTATTGGGAAAAACTGTGCCCTCTGTCTTGCGGTATCCAAGACCTCGGGCACAGTTTTTCCCAATACGGACCTCCCGTCTGGTGAATAACATATATGTATTCATAATCTCAGCACTGTATTCTTCCCATTTCTGTGGTACTGTTAAGGAGAATTTGATTGATGATCAGGAGCCTTTATAATTGGAGAACATTTCCTTTATTCTTATGACGTTTACATTTGATTGACGGGCGATTCTGTGAGCCCGAAGAAAAGATAAGCCGGTCACTCACGAGGATGAAATGGTTAAGTAACTTTTATGATGCCAAATGGTGAATGTTTCTTTTCCTTAGAATTGCCTGATTTTTTTTAATCTAAGATTTTCAATTGTTCTCTTTCAGAAATTATGAATTGACAAAGATGGAAGATGCAGCTCGTTGCTCTCGACTCTGATAGGTAGAAAGCGACAATTGGAACGAAAAAATGCCAGCTATTTTAAACAAACTCAGTTATATCCTTTGCGAGGCGTGTTTGAAGCGCATTAAGCCTTTACTCATTGTGATGATTGCTCTCTCTTTTGTAAAATTCTGCCATTAGATCATATATTCTAATAAACTTGAATCACTATCTTGTTATCGTTGTGTTCAATGTGTACAATGATTTCAGATTATTCTTTAAAGAAAAATAAGGGGAGCAGGCGTTTTTGTCGAGGTTTGCCATTCATTTGCACGAAAAAAAAAAGATTAGTTTTCTTTCCCTCTCTCCCCCTGTCTCCCCTCCCCTCTCCCCCCCTCTCTCCCCTTGTCTCTCCCTTTGTCTGCCCCCCTGTCACCCCCCTCTCTCCCCCCCTCTCTCCCCCTCTCTCCCCCCTCTCTCCCCCCTCTTTCCCCCTCTCTCTCTCTCCCCCTCTCTCTTCCCCCCCCCCTCTCTCTCTCTCGTATTTTTCCAGTGCACGGTTGAGGAATATACAAGATTTTACGGTACATGTTTCACCTCTCCTGTCTGCCGAATTTGTTTTACCGTACGACCATTTTCCCTCTGCATAGTAAATCTAGGATACGAACCTAAACTGAACTAAAACTAAAACACTGACGACTCGCTGTCATCCTCTATGCCACGAGAACTTTGTTCGACGATCATCGTTTGGACGGCCTCACAGTAAGACACAATTATTTGACATGCGGAAATATAAACTGTGACACACCCTTTCCATGAAATTTTCACAAATACTGTTAGGATACTAGAAAATATCGATAAAAACTGCCCTGATCTACCATAAATTGCAATTTTTATTCAGAGCTGAAGTGCGTTGTTAATACAAGTTTAGAGCTTTCTTTGTTGTCATGGGCATTATTTGCTATCGATGAGTTACAGATGATCAATTAATTTCGTTGCCATTTTTTCTTCCTTTGTACTCCATCTGTTACAAAATCAAAAAAGTCTCAGTCAGTATGAGAAAATTTGTCTAGTCCGAAAAATAATTATACTTTATCGATGGTTTAATTCTCGAAGCCGAGGTAAGCGAGAGGGTCGAGGAGGGAGTATAGTGGATTTCAGTCCCTTTCAATTTGCTTTTTTTTCTCGGTCAGACTTAGCCAATAAATATTTTATTAGCGAATACCTTTATCAATAGTTTTTGTTTCATCTTCAACTGTTCGTGAACCAGTTTCTATGGTAACAAACTATTACTTCATAATTAAAATGAGAAGTCATTTTCAAAGCAATTAATGATTCTTTGACCTTTTTTAGGGTAAAAATCAGATGGAAAATTCCTCGAAAAGCAGTTAATTGTCAAAATCAAACGCCTCAAGCCACATTCTCATTACCGGCATTTTCCTGGCTAAGAGAGCGAGTAAAAATATCTGTTCACCATCTGTTACGTTACCTGCAGTGTAGCAATAAGCGTCACCTCGTAATTCTTCCTGAGCTGTCTCCATTGCCGCTGACTCATCTCGTTGCATTTTCTCGATCCGATCTCTACCGGCTCTAAGCAGGGCTTCACCTTGATCAACAAACACACCAGCAACTAGCACGAACACCAGAACTGTGAGAAGTACTTTGTTCATGGCGACAAATCTGAAGATGGATCGAAAATTTCGTCAATAATTCCTCGTAAAAGATGAAGAGACACAAAATGAATTATTTGAAATGAGCTTGATGTCCATTGCAGCAACCGATTTTGTGTTAAAGAATCAAGTCCCAGAACTAATGCAAATAACACGATTTTTCTCGATCGAGAAATAGAGGATATTATTCAGAAATAAACTGCGGAAAAAAATTAACAGTGAAGAAATTAAGACAATTAAAACAAGAGTAAAATGGGCAAATGTTTTGCCTACAGTAATCTTACGGAATCTATACTTTCAGAATTGTAAAAGTCACATTTAGAACGGAAGAGATTTTTTTCTAAGAATTCTTGTTTAAAGTCTCAACTAAATTGTTGTTTCTCTCAAGGTATAAAGCGAGAAATGTTATTGGAAAACCGAGTTGTGGGATAATTTAAAAATGATCTGTTATTTATCCATGCAAAATAAATCACTGCTGATGATGCTTACCAGAAATTAACTTCAGACGGTGGTTAAATGAATAGATTATCTCACCTTCACTATGATAACTGTGGTTGATCTTCTCTCAAAGCTTTTTTTATATACGAAATGAAACAACAACACTAGCAAAACTTAATTTATCATCCCAGAACACATTCTTGATTTATTCATGGTAGAAAAACACATACAGAGGTGTGAACATTTGATTAATTCAAATATGCGATAAGGATATGAAATATTCCATGATCTTAAAGATTGATACAATCCCTCAGGCGAAGTATTTAACATCCAGATGATTTTTTTTCTGAGTTGATTTTAAAATATATATTGGTAATTTAGTGTTAACAACTGAGTTGAAAACCTAAATTGGTCACCGTAAAGAGTTTCAAAGCTGATGTTTCGAGCGTTAGCCCTTCGTCAGAGCGAAACACCAGGTGGTTAACTCCGCGATTAAGAGCCTAAAGATGTGTGTTTATTCTTTTTCAGAGTATTCTTTTGCATCTTATGGTTTTGATATAAACACCGGGTCTCTCTACTACATCGTATATAAGTACCTTACATAATGTATTAATAACAGGTTTAAGAAGAGTTCATCACGCAAATCATGTAACGCAAAATGTTTCATTTTGAAGATTCAAATTTTTAAGAACTGGAGTCTGTGTTCGAGAAATCAATATGGCATGTATGGGTTTTGAAGAAATATTTGTTGTTCCCTTTCAAGTTGTTTTTTGTCTAATCCTCTTTAATTGTTAAAGATTATTCATATTTTGGCTATTTGCGTGTTCTTACTGTAGTATGGTTTATGCCTTGTTGATAAACACCAGAAATTAATCATTCAGTTAATTTCCTTCCGCGGAGACATAGATGACAAATTAAGGCCTTGCAGCAATTAATAGTTTGAAAATAGTTCTCATATAAGTGGAATTTTGAGTGGACTTCAGCTACTTCTTCAATTATGACACGAAATAATTCTTAGCGGAGGGTAAATTTATTCAAGTTAAATTCCACATAGTCAACTACATCACAGAAATCCCTCCATAAAAAATATATATTGGAGAAAAAAACAATACCTAATATACCTTTGTCGAAGTAAATTAAACCGAGCGGTGATTTTTAAAATATGATATAAGGTACTGAAGATTGTAAATTTTAGTTGCAAATTATTAGTTTTGATTAAAATTGTGACCAAAACCTTTTTAATCTCAAGTCTAAGTTCAAAAACTCTGAAATTTTCTAATTATAAAATTTCTTGTAAAGAATTCATTTTGATAATTTTGCGTTTCTCTGCCATAGCTCAAGTTATGTCTGTTAACGTGTTGTAATTTCGTTGTTGGATCTTCCGTTAAAAGCAAGCATTTTTTTTTTGAAAAATACATCCACTGGGGCCGCAGAAGTAAAAATTCTGTTTTTGACTTGTGTTTCGAAAAAGAGAGTAATTTTAAACAAAGACATATTTTAAATACTTTTTGCATGTCGGGTCCTGATCTTAATAATGATAAATCTGATGTTGTATAGATCTGTGTATTTTTTTTAATCCCCCAAGGCATGTTCGCTCCAGGAGGCACACTGAGGTAGTATTCAAACGTACCAAACATTTGAAGGCCATAGCTATTTTTTAGCGCCGGCGATGAGTATTCACTCCTAAGACTTTTTCATTCATAATAACAACAGGTTACGTATTGATGTAAAGGATTCTGCAGCTAATTTTAGCATCTACTGTGATTATGGGTCAGAAAGATTCTGGATACGTTTAAGAATGGTGAGTTTGTTATGGTAGGACGTGATAAACAACTCTTTTCACTGTTACTTATTTGCTGCTTATAGATAATTTATTTCCGACTGAAACAGCCCACAAATTTGTTCCTAGAAACAAATGCAATCAATTATTCATGAAAGATGTTATCTCAAAGGACACTTTTCTGATAATCGCTGCAAGAGGCGGACATTTAATGTTTCGACACATGGTATACTTGTTTAATGTTTAAAACGACACCTCAGCCATGATAACTAATCACTGAAATGTCATTTGATTCCTTTGAAAGCCCGTTAGCAACACTGTAAGTTGCATCAGATCAGGAATCTGCTGAAAAAATTATAGTAAGAGTCGACGTGGAATGCAAACTTTATTAATTATTTTCAAATCATTTACGCCTTTTAATATCTCCGTCATTTTCACTCCCTGATGAGTTCCGGTTATTTGTGAGACCAAAATCGAGCCGTATTTGCTATGTATCGCACGATCAAAGCATTTTTTTTGGTTCCGCAAATCACGACAAAATTAGATCAAAAAGCCCCCTCAAATAGGGCGCTCTAGGTATTCAGAATACCATTTTTTACCAATTAATCTTCTTAGATTCAATAACTTGAATGCGTGATTTCATTTCCAGAATGAGAAAAAACGAATTATTTCCTTTCTAAAGGAGTGCAACAAAGCTTTTCATGTGTTGAAATGAAAAACATTGATATTGTTTTCGTGAAAAGTCATTCACAGCTTGTTCGTGGTATCTAAATGAGCCTACATCCGTTTGCTTATCATTGAGTGCTTGGTGGGCTTAAATGAAAGAGATTTTGCGAGCAGTACTCCACAAGCCGATTTTACAACAAACCGGCGGTTCAAAGGACGGTTGGAAACTCCCAAAAGGTAAGGTTTATAATAGGAACTAAACATGGCTTGCCTTACGTTCCGAAATTCTCCATCTCATAGTTGACTTAAATTGTATCTTGTTTCTACTTTTTCTTTTAAAATGTCTGATCTCTTGGCTTTCCCCAGTTACTATGTTTAAATGGAAACAAATAAAGATACTAGTTCGGTTTCAGTCACACCAGTTTCAAACAAGAACGAATCATCAAATTCAGAGCGACCACACAGTTGTTTTTTTTCAGTTTTTTTTTTTAATCGTCAAGAGCCTAAGAAGATACTTTTTTCCATGTGTTAACGTAATTTTTCTATGTTTCTTCCTGAGAATCATGATCACAGAATTTCAAAGAATAATTTAATGCTAAGTCTTAAAATCAACCCGCGCTTGATGATTATAGAAAATTAGAGAAATTAGAAAGAAAATTATACGACTTAATCATCGACCAATCAGAGTCCGCTAATCCAGGCGTTATAAACACCAATATTATCACTGTGTCATCACTTTTAGTAATTAACGAATGATGAAATTTTTTATGAGTTACTTTCTTGGAATAAATTTCTTTTCGTAATAGCTAGAAAAGAATTATCGTTTGGAACTTGCTTACACAAAGAACTGAATTCCCCTCAAAGAGTCTTTTCTTTTAAAGAAGAAGAGAAGTCTTTAGAAGTCTTTTATCTACATTATGGCGTTACACTTGGAGATTTGTAGATGAACCCAACAGTTGAAATGACATTAAATTCAGGAATGACAAAGTAATATCGAATGCAACAGAAAAGTAAATGTTAGACTTGCATCATTTATTTTAAAATTTATTGTGCTTGCACTATATGTATATGTACGCCTGTGAATTACACTTAATTTATCTGATACACTGAAAACAGTATGATCAATAAAAATTGTTGATTTTCGCGAAAAATAGCTCTCACAAAAATCCCTTTTTCACTTCAGAATTGACGCCGTGAAAGCAAACTATGGCTGCAGCATTTGTTACTGTTCTGTTGATTATGTTAGTTGCTGGTGAATATATTGATGAAATTGACGGCTTGCTCCGCGCTGGCAGAGATCGAATCGAGAAGGAGTCACGTGACGATTATATGCACAAAAGAGAGGCTGCTGATATGCGCGAATATCGACTTCCTTTTTACTCAAGAAGAAGTGAGTATCTTAAATTTCCCAATAGAGTGTGGGTGTGTCTGGGAGAGAGGGAGCTGGTAACGAGACGCAATGACAGAAGGGTGGCATATATAAGCTTCATTGAATAACCTACATTAATTTTTTTCTTAGAGGAAATATGGTTTTTGTGCTAATGAAAATTGATATCTGTTTCTGTTTCCAGGCAGAATCCAAAATTCTGAGGAGTGACCTTCAAACTCACAGACGTTTCTTAAGCCGATCTTTTATAACCTAAATATGTGATTAGTACCTAAAATACGAGCATTGTAAAGAATAAAAGGATCTTCATCATAAGAGTTACTTTATAATTGAAGAACTATACTGAACAATATAATTTCTGCAGATTTAAAGGAATTTGTCATTTATCTTGCTATTTGTATACCGAAGGACGAATTGACTGTCTGTCTCACTGACTGACTCAGTAAATGACTCACTCACTCACATAAAGCCTGACGGAATGATAAACCGCCGGATTGTACATCATTCTCAGTTCTGTCCTTCTTTCCGTCAGGCTGAATTACTGACTGGGCCTACCGAAGGACTTATTGTTCGGAAACGTCAACAACCGTTACTCCAATGTAATTTTGTTGTATCAACTGAGGTGGAGTTGATAATGTAAATTGGCCACGGTAAAGAGTAAAAAGCTGGCGTTTCACGTCAAAGCCCTTCATCAGAAGCTTTTAAAACTCTTTACGGTGGCCAATTGACACAACGACCAAATTATCGGTAAAATTCAGTGTCTTTAGCTTCAGTGTAATTGATAAACTACACCGGATAACAAATTGAATTTTATCAACAGCGATGACAAATTTCTCTCTGGGGAACTGAACGATTAACATTTCTCTTCGAAGCTGCAGCGAAAAAATAATGATATTTTCAGTCTGGATATCTTTAAGATCGGAGGATAATGCTCCACTAAGCCTCCTCCAAATTTAATCACATGCTTGAGAGAAAATTAACAGGGATAATATTCTCTTTGCAAATTAAAGACCCTCTTAGGACGCGACCAGGCAATTTTTTTTTCATATTTTCTTTCTCATAGAATGAATACCCTCTCTATCAATTAAACGTTAGGCAGAGGGGGGATTGTTTCTATATAGAATGCAAGAATGTTTCAGTTTTTTTTTTAATCGTCAAGAGCCTAAGAAGATACAATAGAATGTACAATGAAATAATTCAAGAAATTTAAGTTTTTTTCTCCACTGTTTTAATTAAAGTCTCAATTCAAAATTTGCATGTGACTGACTTGCTTTAAGAGAGAATTTGGAAAATCACAAGGTTTTTTCAAATGTTCTTTTGAGCAATCTGTATTAACGAGAATATTTAGCTCGATTCGGAAAAATATCTTTGATGAACACAAATGAAATAGTCAACATATTGTCCAGTTTCCATGCATGATTCATGTGCCAAGTCAAAGGACTACTGAAGTCATGGCCATGAACGTATTTCTAGGTGATCTGAATGCCACAACAGATGAGTCAGTGAAGCATCAAAATCTTTTTTACTTAAATCGTGTAAGATTTAAATGAAAAGAAAAAAAATCATTTAAAGAGCAGGTATCAGAGCAATTGTTTAAATACTATGTGTCGGCTATTTATTCAATAAATAAATCTATATAATTTATATGATATTCCCTTAAAACTTTTACATTTTTTCCATGGATGTTTTGTCACCTTTCGGCATCGAAAATTAGTTCATTTGTTAGAATTTGAAATGAAATAAACAGATGTTACTTGCTTTGTGAATCACAATTGTATAAATTTCTATTTGAATTATACAATCCGCGACACTTCCTGAGAATGAATGACTTTGATTTAATGAAGATTCCCAAAACATTGTAAACTATGGAACTGTAAGGCCCTCGAAGTATTTATCAAATTTTATGCATGAAATGAGGACCAATATTTTTCCAGTTTTACGAGGCTGTCTGGAACATGACAAAGGCAGGAGCAATACCTTAGAAGACAGAAAATGTTAACATTTCTGAAGAACAAAAAAGTTTGATTCAAGTCTTAGTTTTTAAAACCTAGTCATTTCTCCCTTGAAACGACTTTAAAAACCTTAATAGATTTTTTTATTGTCTGAAAAAAGGTCGTGTTCATTTATAATTAGAATGAACGAGTCTTGTTCAGTTTAACCAAAATTAGGCGAAAAGTTTGCCGCTTTTTTTTTTTAATTGAGGGGTTCCACTTCTCTTCTGGATATTTCCAAGGTAGCTAGTAATTATTCATGTCCATCACCGTTATCAGTTTTGTTTTCATTGAAAAGGAAAGATTTGAATAATTTATAAGCGATAGTATTCACTGAAAAGAAACAGTGATTAAAACACTCAGCTATTTACGACCGCGAAAACAGAACGCTTAACATATATTTCTGTGATGCGATTTACAAAACAGTGATGTGGTGTGAGATAAAACTCTTTATTGCTGCGTTGGTTCCGCTTCGTAATTCTTGGTCATGTTGAGCCGAACGGAAAAGATCTGAATATTGTAATACTCTCATCAATGGACACCGACGTTATCGAAAAACCAAAAAATGGTTATCTGTTAAAGAAGTAAATCAGATCGACAAGAAACTAATGAGAATCATGTCAATGGCTTAATGAAGCTCACTTTTCCCAAGCGAATACGAAATGGAAGATTATGTTGAGAGGAAAAAATAGGAAGTGGTGAAAATCATCCGATTGAGGAACGTTTCCAGTCTGGCAATGATTAAAAGAAATTTTGCAAGGAAATGAAAAAAATTCAAATGAGAAACTAAGGAAACCTCTTACGACTTCTTGTCGGCAGGACGTCTGAAATAATATGTAAAAATGAGTTACGAATTTTACCCATCATGTTGATAGGAGACATACCATTGCGTGCTGATGATAAGGAAAGGAAACAAGTCACGAGCTTTGTTTTTAAAAAATGAACCTTTTCGTTTTCTTATCTGGAACTTGTATCAATTACTCCGTACATGTATCCGCTTCTTTGCAAAGTGTGATTCATTGTGTGATTATAAATAGAGTCTTGTGGCTACTGTTTCACACATTTCACTTCATATCAATATTTGAAGACGTTTTCAGTCCAAGAAGGTAAGATATTTCCATTTATGTTTGTGACTCACTCAAGAAAGTCTTAGGTTCTGAGTCGTAACATACATTTTGCAATGAAAACGCATACATCACTTTTAGCAGAGCGTTAAGAGTTAAGGGCTACAAGTTAGTTCTCCCTTTCCATCAGAGGAACTGACTTTATGGACACAAAAATAGTTTTTTTCTTTTCATTTTTAATTTTGTGTAAAAATTTTTTTTTCTTATAAGAAAAAGAAAACTTTGTTTGTCTAATTCAAATTCTACAATGCCTACCAGTTAAATTTTTAAATTTCGATTTCAACTTAGAGATCTCATTTTTCCCAATCATTCGAAATTACGGTCCATAAAAATCGTAATCGAAAGTGTTAAAAAGAACTGATCGCCATCTTTTCACAATGAACTTGTTTATCTTATTATCCATACCATGCATTAGGCAAAAATTAAATTCACAAAAATCGTGAACGGGCTAAGGTTTGAGGAACTTAGGAAAACTGATTGCAAATGTATATAATTCACACACGTAATGATTGTCATTTCTTTAATTCACTCAGACCCCCCTATTGAACGAACTCAGAGAACAAACGTAAAAAAATTGCCGAGTGATGATATGAGATTCGAGTATTTTTAGGGTTTTAGGGATGTTACTTCATTATAATGGGATCAATACAGTGTTTTTACATCATCAAGAGTCCTAGAATATATAAATACAAGACTTTGAAACTCACTTCTGTTATCACATTTTCCTTCCACCCAATAAGAAATCAGCCATCCTCATCATGAACAAAGCAGTCCTTACAGTTCTAGTGATTATGCTCGTTGCCGGAGTTTTCGTTGAACAGGGAGAAGCCGTTCTCCGAGCCGGTAGAGGTCTGGGGATGGAGAAAGCTCAGCGTGGTTATGAGCTTAAAACAGAGGCCCAAGACTCCACCATGATCACTTGTCAATGCGCCATGCCATCATGTAAGCATGTTAAATTACTGCTAAATAAGTAATTTCTCCTCTCTCTCTCTCAATACTTTTTAAAGTAAACAGACGAGAAGATTATCAACTAAGAGGTTGACTCGGTGTAGCACTGAATTCATTGGATAACTTGAATATAGAGAAAATGTAGCCATTCGGAAAGGAGAAGAAGAAAACGGATTAGTAGTATTGAAGAACTTTAAATTACGCTGTTATACATTGAAATTTTTTTTGAAGTATTTTCATTTTAAATAGTTTTGAGATAGACCATTATTTACCGTAGACGTTGGTAAAAGGTCTTGATGGGCTTAATCTCATCCCGTGGTGAAAAAAAGAAGGGGGGAGGTACCTTATTACGATACATTGCAAATGTTCTGTTTATTTCCCTACGGCTGACTCTATTGAAGCACTTGGCCTCCATGTTTTCAACGCAGCAGTAACAATGTAACTACTTTTATCCACCTCATTTTGCAAAGCTATCATATTCAGGCGAATTAATTTTTGTTTTGTTTTGTGTTTTCCATTTAAGACGATTCAGAGAAAAAGAAGTGAAAGACCAACCAATGGTGAGACACGATGACAACGATGGCGTTGATAACCGGTGTATACACGCGGTTCTTAGATACATAGTCCAATAGAAAAATTGTGTAGAAACAGACTAACATGTAGAGGTGTATGAATGTAATGAAGTGTAATAAAAGTGCAGATCTCTTGAGAATCAAATACCGACTTGATTATTCATCAGTTTTTATTGCTCTCCTCCTTCTCTCTTCCCACATTCCCTTTTAAGATTACCAAGTTCCATCCCTTCTACCACCTTGCGTCCGTCCACTCCCTTCTCACCCATCTCTCTATTCTCCATGCCTCATTTTCCTCCCGGTCTGCTCCTTCCCTCCTCCCTCCCGTTCCTCTTTCCCTCCCATTCCTCCCCCTCTTCCCTCCCTCCTCTTTCACTCCTTCTCCATCTGCCACTTCTTTTGGCCTCCTCTTTCCCTCTCCTTCCTCTCTCCACCCACTCCTCCCCCATCCTACCTTTCTTTACCTTTTATCCCCTTTCTCCTTCTGTCCCATTCCCTTCTCTTCAGACTTTTCCCCTTCTATCCTGATGTTCTCTGTTTATAAGTCTAAGTTTACTTCATCGCACAACTTGAAGAAATCCCTTTTGTTGGGTAAACCTGAAATATTCTGCAAGAAGAGGAAGGGAAGGGGAGTATTCAACAATCCTTGCAGGTTCATGTTGCCCCAATCATCAACGGTTGATCAAACAAACATATAAACATTCACATAACTTTTAAAAAACTAACGCAGTCCGAATGCCTTTCCAAGTATCAAACAGAACTATATCCACTTTTTTTGGTTCAATTATCTCTTTGTCTTCTGTAACAAGTCTACGTTGCTCACGAAAGCTGAACGTCAGAATAAAGCAAATGAATGTAAGTCTTTTTTACCTTATATTTTGCTCTACGTCTCTTATCACTTTAAGTTAGCGGTAAGTAAAATAAATTTAGAAATTACGCCTTTTTTCAGAGATAAAGCATTTACGTGGTCAATCAGTTGTTTAAGTCATTGATCTTTTATAAGCAGCCTTCTAGGTCGATAAACCGATGTAGACACAGTGAAGGATCCAGGGGAAGAATCCGATAGGTACGCACCCCTTTACCCCTAGACCTGAGTATGAAACGAAAACTCTTCAGACAGGATTGCATATAACTACCAACTTAAAGTACAAATCTTGGAAAATTCACCAGCTTATTTAGGTAACTATAGAAAGGGAAACATAAAAGAAACAAATTCCTCTTCTTCTGAATCAGATTTTGAAACCCCCCCCTCCCCCTCCCATACAAAAATTCCTAGCTCTGCCCTCGATAGACTGCATATACTACATAACTTCAAACAGAGTTACTCGTCTGATTGATATATAATTACTGATAGCGATTACATTTTAATTTCAATTAAAAACAGTAGATATTCAATTAAGATTTTGTTAAAATTGATCGCAAATAGAAATATCTAAATAAATTTCGGAAATAAAAGAGGCAAAAAATAATTGTTTTTATCTTACAGAGAATCAAGCGATATGATGATCGGTAGGGAAAAACCCAACTAAAAACTAATACCTTGAAGTAAAATATTTACCAAAGCGTATTCCCAACAACAGGAAGAAAAAGAAAGTACTCAATCATCTTTTCATCTTTTTCCCTGAAAAGATTGAGTAGGCACGCTCTTTTCGGAAATAGCTCGATAATATACCCACTCTATATCTTGAATAAAGTAACTGCGTAATTGACTTTGTTTCATTGATGGAAATAACACATACGTTTATCTACTGTATTGTCTTACATTCTACGGCTCTAGAAAATAGCTTTCTTATGGTACTATTTATAAAGTTTGCCAGTTGTAATGCCAGAATTCATCGAGGTATTTAAACCTTTTTTTTCCGCTTTTTTCGTCAATTGGAAACAGTCCCAAAACAAACTAATCCTGTGTATTGCTGAAAACATATCTCTGACTGTAGGTTTGAAAGGAAATGAATAAATAATAATTTACAAGACAAGTCGGCTTTGTTGAAAGAGTCAATTGGGAAGCTTCTATTGTAAGGCGCTGATATCTCCTCGGAAACTAAATATTCATAATTACTTCACATCCTTTAACGTAAGTGGATAGATGAGCAATAGATACATAACGGATATTATCTGTTAAAAAGAAGAACAAAATCACAAATCGAACAGTTATTTGTGGACAGGCCACTGAAATTCACCTTCGGGAACAGTTTGAAAGAAGGTAAGACGGTGAGGCATCTTTGTGCACGACAAAATTTCATTTTTCCTTTCGTTTATTCCTAAGATTTCTTTTTGACTTACTTTAAGTTACATTGAGACTACATTTGAAACAATTTCCGTATTAAAACTGACACATATATTTCTTTATTACTGAAATTCTCGATGAAAATCCCATTTATTTCGATAGCAAAACTCAATGTTTCGGCAAAAAAAATTATCCCCGTTTTATCGTAATACGAATGACCTCAGTTCTGGAGCAAGTTCTATCCCCAATTTACCCGTTACTTCGTCACACATTTACAAGTCTCTTTAACATTGTAGTGAACTTTGTGAAGCCGTCACGCCTTAACTATGAGCAGAAGTACGCTCTTGGATAACCATTTTTAATCAAATTCTGCAAAGTACCTTTTTCTGACAGGAGTTTATCCAGTTTACCTGGCTTTGGCAAAAGAATCTTCACAAAGATATTTGAGTCGCAGTCTAGTTCTTTGAATAAAGAATCAAGTTAAACGAATGAATAGATGAAAATATAAAATGGATGGGTTGATGGATCAGTTCATCGACAGATAAAACAAAACTTTACTTAACCACGGTAGCTTTGATCAAAAAGTACAACATCTTGCACTTTCGAAAAGCCTTAAACTACAAAATCACGATTAAGTCTTTAGAGCATTTACAAGTTTAAAATCAGTATTTGAAAAATAAATCTACTAATTTTCTGTAGACAGAATTATAATCTAATTGTTATATTTAGAATCGATAGTGAGATTGATAGAATCTAATTGGTTTTAATAAAGATCAATGTCTGGACAGATGATTGGATGACTGAATACATGAATGAATAAATAGATAAATGAATGAATGAAAAAAATTATCAAAGGAAAGGTGAATGCATGTCTGGAACGAATTATGAATAAACAGATTAATGAGTGAATTAATGAATGAATGAAAAATGAAAAAAATGGATATATGGATGAATGGATGATTGTCGGGACTGATGAAAGAATAAGCAAATGCGGTGAATATGTAAATGAGTGAAGTGATCTTCATTGGCTCATTTCACAACACTTTTTTATATCCATAAAGATAAACCAGGATCAACCAAACCAGCGGCATGAAGACTCTTCTAACCGTCCTCCTGTTTTTCACATTGGCTGCCTTACTCCTGCCCTCGGGAGAGGCGATCCTTCGCGGGGGCCGAGATGTGATTCCGCATGAGAAAACTGAACGAGAAGCAGATGCATTGTATGACTTCTTGGAAAGAGCCAGGAAAGTACCTCGTTATCACAAGCGAAATAATAGTAAGTTAATTCAAAGTTCAAACAGTATTTGAAGGCGTTGGTTTCTTCAATTGGTCCTATGATTGGTTTAGAAATCTTGTTGCTCCCTCTCGACCAATCAGATGCATAAATTGAGTGTAGAAAATCCAAAAATCAAAGTTATTCCAGAGACCAATAAGAGCAAGGTTTTTCATGAAAATTAGCCAATGGGAACTCAACGCGGAAACAAGAAAAATGCTTAATGCGTTGGAAACACGAATGAACAAGTCGCGATTGTCCTGAGTTTTGCGTCTGATTGGTTGAGAGGATGGCGAGAGTTTTCTGAACCAATCAAATTTTGTTCTAATACTTATTTTTCTGTGTCTTAGAAAAATGGCGGGACGAGAACAAATATGAATCCTGAGCGTACAAGAGGTGAATAAGGCAGCATTAACGATTTTCCACTGTAAACATTCAACAGTAAGAATAAATTGATACATGAAAAGAGATTGAATTCCTGTTGAATTTGCAAACTCGTAAAATCCCCTTTTCATTTCCTCGACCACTCGAACAAGCAAAATTTGGAGACGTCATTTCTGATTGGAACTTCGTAAGCCAAAGTACAAAAGGGTTTTAGATACCCCTGGAGAGGTCTGAGGGCTTCTCTTGTGTACTTTAGGCGATGTTTGATAGATGTAACTGCAAATACACGCACAATTCGCCTGCATAATAAATGAGACATTCAGTTACATTCCACAATCAGTAGTTGCAAACATTTCTTGTCAAGTCGAAATCCAATGATCTCTAAGCTTTTGATTGAGTTATTCAAAGAGAATACTGAAAAAAAACGGCGACAAAACAAAATCAATTGGAAAAAAACAACTGCATCAACAGCGGCAAAATGTAAAGTATGATGGCGGTTACACTGAAGGTGACAGCAATCACAAATGGAATTTCTGTTTTCGTTGTTGTAATATTTGTTTTCTTTTTCTGTAAAATAAATATAAATATATTTATCAAGATCTAGTCGACAGTTTTCGGATGAGTGCGACAGCTACGAGTTTTGGTCGCTACATTATGACAGTCTCACGAAATTTTCATAATCGTCTCCGGCGTTGAGGTTTTTGCACGATCCTCATTGGTGCCTTATCGTAGAGCGAGGAGTAAGCCAACTCTCATCACCCCTACCTCCCCTCCCCCGTCCTTCCTCTTTCCACAACAACAAACGCATACTGCATATTGTTGATGTTACGTTTGTTATAAAGTCTGATCATTTAACAGTGTTTAAATTCAAGAGGATACTTAAACAAGACTAGATCACAAATGACCAAGATTATATTCAATCAAGTTTCGATTCCCCTCTTTTCTCTCAGGTAAGCTTTGTAGAAGCGACTATTTTAATATAAGGAAAACAATTTTCACAGCCGTTTATTGCAGTAGCTAGACAATTTTTTGTTTATGAAACCAATCTATGTTTACATCAATTTCTTTCGAAGCGTGCTCCCGCCCCTCCTAAAAACACTGAAATGAAAAATTTACCAGGTCTGAATCGGAGTGCTGTTTGCTAAATTTCTCTTGTGGAATGACAAAACAATTATTTCTTCCCAAAGTAAATCGAGTCAAAGATTTTATCAAAGCCCAGTTGATGACTTGTGGAATTATTATTTATTATTTATTATTCTAGTTATTTCATCACGTTTTGTTTGGGTTCAGTGCTGTTATTCAAAATATTCGTAGGTTTTTTTTTCTCGGCGTCGCGTTACGTAATCGTCTATTGTCAGTTACATAAGTTAATTTTCTGGTTCAAATTTGTATAAAAGTTGGCATTCTTTCCTTGTAAGCTAGTTTTTTAGTGTTTTTCCGGAGTTGCCGTACAGATCCTGTAAGTATTCTATTTTTTTTTCTTCTTGTATATTTTCGCTTGTTTCTATCGCATTTGTACATTTTGTTTGTTGTTTGAGTCTTTTGGCCTGTCGAAGTCGATATTTGTTATATATATATATAATTGTTCTAGTGAAATGTTTGTCAATAAAGTACAAATTTAAAACTGTACGTAGAGTGTAATCTACATCCTTATTTACAAAGTTATCTCTCAATAACCAGTGGTAGATCAGAAACATGATTTCAGCGAAGTTTCAGGTAAGTATCATGAAGAACGAAGAATCTGGGTTGTGTTAATCTATGTGTTTATAAAACCAATAGAAAGATAAAACTCTAAAATAATGCAGAATAATAGCTGAATAATTTATATATTGATCATGTGGTTATGGTTAGGTGAATGGCAAAGAGGGTACATACAATAAATTATGGGCTTGTTTGCCTCTATGGATTTGTTTATTACCAGCTGGGCTTTTGGCTTGAAACCTTTTCTGACAGAAGTAAAACAACAGTTTTTTTTTCTCTGTTTAACTTTTTGTGAAATCAGCAGTAATTTTGTTTTAAAACGAGCGTTATGTTCATTTAGAATCGTAAATCTTACAATGTTTGCCATAGAATGAAAATAAAAACCCTTTTATCTATATTTTGCAAAATAAATCAATAAATTAGTTTTTTGTAATGCAAGTATGGCCAGTATACAATTTTGCAGAAGAGGAAGATCAAAGGTGGATGTAGCAAACCCTCGGGGATCACATTTGTTATTTCAGTCATTGTAAATTTCAATACCAAAGTGAATTTTTCGCTCAGAAATCAATGATTTATTTTCCCAACAAACCTCTCAGAACTTTTCTTTAAAGTACGTCACCATTGCTCCGATAACAACTTTTTGATTCTGTGTTGCCAACTTACGGTGAAAGCAAGCCAATGAAATAAAACTGATATTGAAAATGACAGACTCGCAACAGTTTCAATAAAAACTTGATAAGAATCTTAATTCATTTAGAGTACCTCATTGAAAACTACAGTTTATTGTTTAGTTTCAAGGGACTCGTTAACAGCCTTTTCATCTAGCCTAATCCTTCGCCTCAAAGTTCACTTCCTTCGGTTTTATCTAATCACTTAGATTAGAACATTTCAGGTTTGCAGTGAGCTAAAATAAAAACTCTGGATTATCATCTTGTTGAGAGAAGAATGATATGATGAAAAATTCATTGAAAAAGGACTTTTATGCAGAATGAAATATACCCTGTAATTTAGAGACCTTTTCTTAGCTACGACGGAGAGAACTTTTTCTTTAATTCTTCCTCAAAAAAGCTGACAATTGCTTTCCTCTTTTCTTAAATCTGAAGGCTTCCCCACACTTAATTCCTTTTCATCCGAAGTGATTTTCTTGGGAGCAAAAAAATCAAAGAAAAGGTAGTTTAATCCTTTCAAATCTCCTATTTTGATTTATGTAAATTTTTATCTTAAGTGATCTGAGCTATAAATAAGTATTTCCTTATAGACAAAGTTTGCCTATTACCTCGGGACACTTTGTCAGGTTAGCAAAAACACGTGTTTCCTTTATATTCATGCGATCTTTTTCCTGATCTTTTTCTCGTCATGAGAACAAAAACTTAGTAGAAACGTGTCAATTTCGCTTCCTAAGATTCAACAGAAATCTAAAATCTTTTGTTCTCTTATCGATCGGATTCAAATCCTACGACTCTGTATCCGTTTTATTGATTGAATTTTGTGAATAGCATCCAGCTATAAATTAACAATTTTATGTTTCATCTTTTCATTGTGAAGGAAAGAAAGGACATTGACAGAGCTGACAGAACGAACATCAGATAGTAAAAGTAAGTTCCGTTTAAGTTCATCATAGACAGCTAAGAATGGTACAAATGCTCTTCTAAGTTAAGGTTGTGAGTAAGGATTTTGTGAATTCGGCTCTTGTTGGGTTTTTTTGGTTAAAAAATGTTTTTCTTGCCAATACTTTGAAAGTTGCAGTCATTATTAATACACGATTGAAATAATAACCATTACATACTCACTTCTTGTAATTAACATCTAAATTATATACCTAGTCCTCTTGAATTTTGTTTTGGCCAAATAAGAAATTTTGCTATCAATAATTTTTATTGCCGGCATACCAGTTCATTCTATTTTCCTTAAGTTACTTCAAGTGTATTTTATCTTCATTTAAATTTCCGTGAAATTAAATAAGTTCACTTTGATAATTGTTATCCATTATTAAGTGAGGAAAATACACTCTACTTTTCGTGAGGAAGCAAATTATTTTCGTGATTGAACAAAGTTTATTTGTTTTTCTTGGGACAAAGAAGCAACTCCTATCGAAAAATTCCAAATAATCCTTGGTACAGTAAAATTTATTCAGATGAAAATTAGACCAAACGTGATAATCTTTTTAGTTCTCATATATTTGCAATTGTTTTATTTTAACAACATTTTTTACCTTTTACATAAGGATACTTAAATCCGTTTTGAGATCTTCAAACCTACACGATTTTTTACAATTTTTCGTAGTCTGTTCTATATAAATGATGAGCCTTTGAGATGGCTGATGGGAGAAAAGACTTCTTTTTTGCTGTCCCTTTTCTCTAGCTTAGTAAACATAAACCAAAAAAAATTAGGGTAAAAGAATTCACATTACCTACAAAACCAGTTTTGGAGAAAATATCATGGCTTATGATATGCTAATTAACTGTAAAGGACGACAAAAGATCAAACAAATGCCCCTCAAACGGGCTTTAGAAAGATTATTGGAAATTAAACATGGATAACTATTGCAGAAACCCAAAGCACATTTCTGAAAAAAAAGTGAAAACTAAATTTTCGTTTGAGATGCACAATTTGTGTCTGAGTAAAAAGTAATACTTTAATGGCGGATCTTTAGATGGCCACCGTTAATTCTGATACTTTGACACTTTCAAAACTATAACAAAAGATCATTGAAGTTCTTTCCGAAAGGAGAAAACGTCAGTGATAAAATTATCAACGTCTAGCAGCTGAAATTGAAAAGCAAAAATGAAGTCTTTCAACTGAACTCAGGAAAACTCTATTGCTTCTAAAAAAAATAGTTAACCTTTTCTGAGATTCTTACGTGGCGGGCATGACAGAGACTTTTCATCGGAAAAAATTGGGTCTTAAATGTTGTATCATGTATCTAAAACACCTTTCCAAAACAGAGGTGGTCAAAATGGCCAATCACAACAAGTGTAATATATATGTTACGGAGGCAATGAAACCTCAAAGTGGAAATAGGCAAATGGTCTAAATTAGGCTATCCAAGATGCAACTGGGTTTATTTCTTTGAGTTTGAAGACCAATCAGAAGCAGCAGTGACAAAATATCAATAATAACAATCAGTTTCCTAGGTGAGGATCGTAGAGTAAATTTTAAAAAAAATAGGAAAAAGACATGCCATTTGACAACATAATGAAATTAACCGTGCATTAACTCACAATTTTTTTAAGGAAGCCAAAAGCAGAGCAATTCCCGATTACTTCCTCGCACCAAACTGAAAATAGCTTCATTCATGTACGTACGAATATGCAAGTACTCGAGTATCGCCAGAGAAATCTCCAACGTTTTCAAACCTTTATTTCTCTTGATTCATTTTCTTCAGTTAAAAAAACTCCTCAGCATGAAGCAAGCAGTCGTTGCAGTTTTTACCATCTTGGTTTTAATGGGTGCAATTGTGCATAGAGGTGAATCATACATCAGGGCGGGAAGAGATATGATAAACAACAAACAAGGACAGCCAATAGCATTTGCAGAAGATTACTATAACAAACCAGTTGAGGCTGCCCCCCGTGCTCCAGCTTTGAAGAGAGGTTAGTGAGTCTCTTTACTACTGGAAAGCTAGGGCTGATCAGCGAATTCTTGATGGGGGAAGGGAGTTCTATTTCTCTCTTTCTCTTTCAGTACTCAGGGGTGGCATTTCTGTTAGTTCTTCTAAGAAAGATAAGAAAGCGCTGTTGAGGCAAACGTAATTGCAAACGAGACTTCTTCTATATTTTCAGTTTTATTTGTGTACATCACTGGCCAGTTTGGTTAAAATCCTGTTTTAATTTTTAAAAATACCGTTACAAAATTGTTCTTATTTCTTCACAGGGTTTGCCATGATACAAAAGAAACGGGAATACAAATTGAGGCGTGAATGAATCAGCATCAAATCTCCATAGTTGTCTTTATCGCCTATAGCTACAGTTTCCTGAGGCAATTTCTCGTTTTCTTACATTTCCTCAGTAATTGCCGTTAAAATAAATTCGTGCCAACATTCCATGAATTATTTCCAAAATAAAATTGTATTTAGCTCCATTCTTCTCTTGTGATATTCATATTAATGATTCCTCAGTTTCAGCGTGACCATTCTGACTTCTGGTTGCATAACAACCCTTTTCCACTTTCGTGACATCTCTCGTTTGCGTGACATTGCCACACATTTTCTCTTCTTTCTCGACTCCATTTCCTCTCTCATTTACTTGTTGTTTTATTTTAAGTTTATCCTACAGTTTCGTTTTAGTGGCTGGCGAAAAACAAACATAATTGAGGCCTCTCTTAGCTCGTTTCTGGTTTTTATCTCACTTTTTTGTTTAACTAAACTAAACGTAGCTGTTTTGCCACGAACGTAAAACAGAGCACCTTTCACTTCAACGTTCACAGAATTAACTAAACTACTACACAAGTTATACGTCAATGATCAGACACAATGCGCGTTAAAACGCTGTGAAACTGACAAAACTCATACCTGTGTTCCCTTTTCGATTCCATTACTTAGTGAAATCAATGTCTGTAAAACTAATGCAAGATAACACTACCCTCGTGTGGTTTACTTACTTCAAGTGTTGACCGCACAGAAAAAGGCAATACCAGTGAGTGAAATTCTTCCCTCATTATTGATTCAAGTTCTTTACTTGCAGAAGAATACAATGTTTCTTTCTCTCAGAGCAGTCGAGAGAATGGGGCTAGGTTACGTAGAGCTTTCCTTCTTCGGTTATAAATTTTACTTTGGGAATATCAACCCAAATCGAAAGATGACAATTATCGGTTGACCTTTCATTTGCCGCATCAAAGTTTGGGTGCATTTTTAAAAACTATCTAACATTAAGCACCGATATGTAGGGCATATCCTACAGCATACCTGCGAGTTCAATAACTGGAGTTTCTTGTGATATCCGAAGGCATAGAAAAGTCTATAAATTTTGCATACATTTATTGACATCGATGGATCTTTGGTCAAAAAAATACGTTGGAAGAATGGAGAACGTTACACGTAGCTAGTTCTAGGTCAAAAGAGAATGCACTAAAATGATCATCGATCTGGCGATTCTAGTTTCTCAACTGTTTTTATTTTTTTTATTTTTATTTCCATTTCGGCCTAACATCTGCCTTAAGCTTCATGATAATTTGGTGCGATATCGGAGTAATTTGACTGACCATGACTTATCACAAGGACATTTCTGTGTGTAAACGAATTATTTCAATTCAAAAGAGCTTTGTTCTTCGATAGTACTTAAACATCTGGTCCACTTGCCAATGTTTTCTTTCTTTTTGTTTAAGAAAGGCGTCTGTGTAAACAAACCATTTCTAGACTCCATTTACTGTCTATTATTTTCTAAAAGAATCTTTTTCCTTTATTCATCGGCCTGTGAGCTACTTAATCCCTGGGTTGACTTATGTAAACATAAAATCTGTACAGCCTTGCTAACTGGTTAATAATCGCGCGCGTCAGGTCTGGCTCCTTTAGGTTAGTCGCTTCCTTGACGAATTGTCTAACATTTAATTTACTTCGGTATTTGACGAAGTAAACTATGCTCTATTTACATTAACAGCCGGACACTGCAGAAACCGGCCTGATTCAAACGTATTTCACGTTCGAAAGCTTCTTTTATTGAAATCAGTTATAACCTGGCACTTGTCATTGGCGTGACTGAAGATTTTTTTTGGGTCATAATTTCACTTAGCATTATACATAGCTCTCGAGATTAAACGAGAAATTTCAATTTCACTCTAACGAATTTGTTGCATAGTCCATGAAGGCGTTCGAATCCAGCGAAATGGATATAAATAAATTTTGTTCTGAATTATTACAGCTGAAACGCCGTTGTTTTGGCTATAAACTGGGCTTGTCAGATTTGTGACAATGTATGAGTTTAATGAAGTATTTTCAAAATTTTTGACACCAGCTTTGAAATGAAGATTTCTTACATGTATGTAGTTGCCAACGCATAAAGATGTGTACCACTTTAAGAACTTATAGTTTTTCATTTGACAACTTCAATCGAGTGTGCGCAGGAATCTGTAATCTGTATTCTAGTCCTCAAAGTGTTTTAAGAAATTGAATGCTAATTTTCTGACCGAAACGAACGAGATTTACACAACAATCAATATTGCATATTCATAGCTACAGTTCATCTTTCAGAAATATCAGCACTATTTAGAGCAAAACAAATCTATAAAACACAAATCATACACAGTTTTAGTGACCTCTCGAACTACTTTAGGTTTGAAAGGAGTCTGTTGAATTGAGATTCTGCAATTCATAACCTGGGCTTTACTCCCGGCCTGTTTTAGTATAACAAATCAGATTTCTGTGAGTTTATCTTTTCTTCTTCGAGGTCGCGATTGGATAGTAGTTTTAGATAACTTTAAACATTCAAAGACTCGCCTTTGCAAAAAGATCTACGTTAGTTATCAAGAGCGCAAACAGATAATCATATAATACTTGCGAAAGTCTTTGGTTTTAGTGAAGCTAATTTTTGGAATTTCTCTTTTTTGAGTCGAATTGCACAGAGCCACCAAAGTTATGCGGTTACTTACTCCATCGCTACTCGTTTTTTTCCAAGCTATATTTATTACGAGGGCTGTGTTTTCCGCCTTTTTTGTTTTCAATAGACTTTTTCGAACTTGTTCGTTTGTTTCAAGAACACAATGGCTTGAAACAATATCCCACAGATGCCAATTACTGTTTTCACTACAAATTATTTTAATTTGACCCATTTTTGGATTTATTAATAATCGCTCTAGAACAAATTTTACATGTGGCATCTATGGTCACACAATGCTTGTCGAGACTTAATTGTTAAATAACAAGATTTTATTGATTAAACTGTTGACATAAACAAAGTCCATTCTAAATTTAGCAGATCTCCTGGGACCAAAGGACATTTCCTTGTTTAATAAAGCAGTTTGACAATGATGTTTTGTCCAAGCTGCAAGTAATAGCCCCGAGGAGATAGCTCAGATAAAATTGTTACGAATAACAGGAGGAAATGAAGAATATGAAGAATAGTTTAGACTAACAAACATAAGCGTCTGATATTAGTTTACTCTGGTCGAAATAAAGTACAAATACCTTCTGGCCTTCCCAAAGATGTCAAAGCTCACCAGTCACCACAGAGGGATCCTTTGGGATGCAAAAGATAACAAAATAGCGAACGTGAAAACTCTATAAAATACGCTAATGTACTTTCAATATCCAGATTACTGTAGCCAGTAGTTCCTACTGGGAAGCTTACCCATACATTTGTTTCCACTTACGAGGGAGATCGTTATTTTCTTAAAGAAAAAATATCTTAATCAACTCTTCGCAGCAGTCTACTTAGATTTCAACGAGCCTTAACAACTGTTGAACCTCAAACTTACGCGGCTTCATTGGCAAAAATCTGTTTCTTCTCTGCGATATTTTGGTCAAAGCAAAACAGCATTTTCTAACGTAGTAGTGAAATGAATGATACTTTATTGGGGAATTAAATCGTCATAATAAGAGTGGGTTAAAAGTGTCTTTTCTCAGTTTTAGCTTCGCTCCAAGGTCGGTAAGCCTGCATTGAGACAGGTCACTTACACATAACTTGATAAAAAATTGAAGTTCCACTTTAGAAAACCACGTTACATTTAATCATTCCTATGTGGCTCTATGTGGCTGAGGGCTGCATGAAAGATAATGCAAGGAAATAACGAATTCCAAATGCAGATGTTAAAATGCGGTGGTATAAGAGGCATTAATTACGTGATAAAGAGCTTTGTGTTCTGCTGTTTTCATCCTGTTCTGTCAAGAAATAATTACTCTATAATGGTGATTTCCGAGTCGGGTTGAGAGGTAATTTAAAGAACGCTAGAAAACGCAAATTATGTACTGAATAACACATCGAAGCACAAATATTTGATAGACGAAACCTCAGCGAAAATTAAAGTCAGTAAACTGGAAACTCCCGAACAATCGGATGAAGACACCACAGGCGTTGTCAAAAGATGGATTTTGTTCAATCTTTTATATTGAAATCATTTCTTCTGATTAATTAGCTTGCTTTGGACTCATAAGATCGAGATTCTGAAGGTGAATAATTCATATGCAAGATAAAATGGAATGCAAAGAGAATAACAGAATTATTGTTCATAGTTGGTCTTTTTCATTCAATTATTTCGTTTTCAGGATGATATAAATTAAACTGAAGAATTAAAAAAGAAATCTCAGGCAAGCAATGGTTTAATTGAGCACAAAAACTAAAAATCGACTTAAAAACTTCGAAATGCTATTTGGTTTAACTACCAGAGAGTACGTCCTAAATGAAACCACCATCGTAGATATTACACTCACTATAAGTTTTGTATCTCTGTTCAGAAAGGTTAAAGCATTAAGATTTTTTTATTTAAACTATTTACTACTTCAAGCAGAATTTTTTGGAGTTTTCAAAGGTAACTTGAAGTAAAAAAGTTTGTGCATATTTCATTTAATTTTACAAATGACCCGACGAAAGAATATTCATAAATATTTAATGAGAGAAAGTTAACCAAAGCTGAAATAAATTTAAATCTTATTTTAATGATACCTTTAACTTTCCTTTTCAGCTAAAGTTTTTCACATATGTCACAAGTAAAAAACAAAACTTGTTCAAATAAGTAATTAGCAAAAATAAACCGAAAAATGCTGTAAAATTTACTAACATGTGACATGCGTAATATTGTTCGAGTTAATAATGCCGAAGTCCTTTCATAATTATACAGATTTTATCGCACCCACAACGTATCTTGCTAATTTAAGTTTAGTCCGTGCTAGAAGGTCATATCTGAGTTTTTATTTGGTTCTATCCCGCGACGCTATGGATAATTAATTTTTTTCAAATAATGACAAGACGCTGCTGACTGAGTACCGATGCCAGCTCGCGATAGCGAAAAGCATTATTTTCGCTTTTTTTCATTTTTCGTTAACTTATCTGCTCGAATTCTTATTTTCAAGAGGTTTTCATTTTTGGAATCAATTAGCTTGTTTTTTTTTTCTGCAGTGCAACCAGAAAACCAAAGTTATATTTTAAATTTTGCGTGTTTTAACTTAGAAGTGTTAATATTACATCTCTCGGCTCCTGATTCAATATCTTCACTACAGCCCGCGTCGAGAAAGCCGGCGTTAGATAAGGCCAAAAACCCATGCGAAAACAACGCGAAATACCGCAATATTCAGACTTGGCTTGTCGCTAACGGTAGGGTCGTATTTGCAACTATTAAAATAGTGGTTGTTTTAATGTCCAAATAGGTTAATTTTTAGAGCGTAACTGTCGATGAAGAAAATTATTTTGCTAATGAAAAAAAAATTACAATCAAAATAACTTCTGCCTAGTATGTAAGCTGGCAAAAACTTTGATTAATAACGTTGTTTTTTTTTCCGCGAAATATTTAATAACCAGCACTTCAAAGAGAATCTGGGTTTATACCGCAGTTAACTCATTGCTTAAACAACTTGCACGTGCTTTTTTGCGAGATGGTATCACCATTGAAAATTATCAGCCCTCTGACAAGGTCTTTTAAAACACTGAATTGTTCATGAGAGCGTTGTTTAGAAACGAGAATCGATATCAAATTATTTCGGTAATTCTTGATACTGACAGCTTCTTTTGGATCCTATTCAATTCCAACATTGAATTAAAATGAAAATGGAAGAAAGCATCGCATGAAATTTTATTTAGGTGCAGTTGCTGATCTCTAAAGTACGGCGGTTTTAACAAATATAAATGTTCACCAAGTTTCTATTCCTTGTGGGACTTTGCAGAGTGTTTAATTGTTTCGCCTTTTTTCTTCACATCTGTCCCTCATTTAGATATTGGGACAACTTTATCTCAACTAATGCGTTCATTATATTTAGAAATTTACTTTTTTTAAGACAATGATATTAAATGAGTCTGCTCAGTACAAGAGATAAAATTTGCGTCTAGGATTCTGTTTCCTTCTCGGCTGAAACGAACTCATGAGCTGCCTCATAGCCTCATTTTTTCCTTCTTCTAATTTGAACCTTGTTACCTTTTGTTCGCTATTCTGCTTTCCTTTCGGTTTGATGGTTGACATTAAAAGAACAGATCAGAATGATAATGCATTTGCGGAAATGCATTCACGTTAGAGATTTTCATAAAATTGGCCTTCTAATCCACCGAGATTTCACAATGAAAACCTTTTTCATAGATTTATCTCTTTCCTCCGATGAATACTCCAAAATACCCTACCGAACAGCCGCGCACTGTGCTCCCCCATAGTCAAAAGTCCAAATATTTACCTTATTTTGAAAACCAAACAGTTGCAGAGTAATCTTTCCTTGTTTGCGATCGATTTTGTCTCCTAAGACAACAAAAAGGGTCGCGTTCTATTGATATATACGACATAAATTTCGCTCTGTGAGGTGAGCTTAGACACTTCAACATAAAAAGACCGGAATAAGAAAAGTTAGGGCGTCCTGGGGTCTTTAAAGAGTAAAAGAGTAAACACGCTTTAAACAGAGGCCGTGAATTAATACGCGTCTACGATTTTTGGGCATATGCGCTGAGCGGTAACGTGCAAACCATCTTGATTCCGTGGCTGCGTTTTGTTTATCACGTTGAAAGCAAAGCATGTGCATTTAAAAGTGTGAATCTACGCCTTAGCGAGAACTTCAATAAATAATAATAATTGTGTTACGTTGTAATAACCCCTGCATTGTGAGAACCTCTGAGGATTGCTATCAAGTAACAGCTTTCGTCTTTGGACGGCGAAATGAAAAGATTGTAGCTTCGATAAGTAACATTGGTGAAGAATTCGCGGAGGAATTTCCTGTAGGAAAAGGAAAAGTTCTTCTTGTTTTCCAGTGCAGATAGAAAGAATAAAAAGTAAATAAAATAATTGCAATGAAAATTGTGACCTTTAATAGCATCCTTACAATGCACACGTAAACATTACCGCAAGGAAAGCTTGTGGCTTAGAAAAGCGTCACAGAATCTAGCTTTTTAGCTTGTCTTCGCCGGGAATCCGCGTTTAATGATTAAAATTTCGGATAAGAATCAGAAATCATAAATTTTTTAAACTGGTCGATTTGAAAACCAGGTACGAATCGCGGAAAAAATCCAATAAAATGTATTCAGTTTAGTTCAAAAGTTAATTCAGACATTAAAATACCTTTAACAGGCATTTTTCATCGCTTAGTTCCCAGTAGGGATACTCACTAAAAATAGTTTGGTAATTTATATTAGATTGTTTAACAACAACAAAACCAATCTTATCGCGGGCGATAGCAAAAATTCACTCCCTGCTATTAACTTGTTGTCTTTGCTAACATCTGGAGCGATCACGTATTATTCAAATGAGGTTTATAAATGAACGAGAAAGGTCTTCATTTGGCATTACAGCGTTGGCCTCTTTACAGTGCGTTAAAGTTAAAGTTACGAAGATCACAGTGACCTGCTAAAAAATCTCATCAAAACGCTGATTTAACTTCAAACTTGTCTATTCGACTCGTAAGGTAATTTAGACGCTTTTTATATGATGCTAAATACTTATTAAGATGTAATCCCAGTTTTTATAAAGTCTAGATCTTTCAGGTTGTAGTTACACTTGAGCTTTCACCACCCTATCTTAGAAGAAGAAAGAAACCGTTGAAACTCGGTAACATATCTTTGACGTCTAAATTTTCAATTCGTATGCATGCAGTTACTGAAGCAATCCTAACTACCAATTTTTGAAAATAAGGCTTTACGTCTCAGAGAAAAGCTGCACTGCACGATCAGAAGTCAACTGAACATTGTTTTCCGGAGTCAAGATAAATTTGCCAAATATTTCTGTTGATTTTTTCAATAAGTGAGTTTGAAAACAAACAAAGGGCAAATGTTTGTACCTTCTTAGTTATTTCTTAGCTTTTGTTTTGAGCCAGTTCAGTGGTTAGAGAGAAAACTCGGCTCCGGGAAGGCCAGAGCAAAATCAAAGATCGCAAAATCTGATGAGTAGAAGAGCTATTTATTCCATATTATTATACCAATAATTTGGCGCTTTTGTATAATTTTAACGCTGCTTTCTATATTCGAACAATTGATTAAAAAAATTGTTTCCCATTATCTTTAAGTCAGCTGGACATGCTCGGGTTGCGTTTTTATTTTCTGGCATTCACCAAAGCCAAAAAGAAGAAAAAAAACTCACTTGATCAAATAAAACTTTAAATTAAATAACTAGAAATAGCATTAAAGTTTACGTGAAATCAAGGTAAAGCAGTTTTCCAATGGCTTAAAATTTGGGGAAAATCCTTGTTAGGAACAGATTGTAAAGTTTCCGGCAATTAAAAAATGACACAGCAATAATTTGCGATCTTTTTTTTCGCTGGTGGATATTAAACCAATCAGAACTACTATTCTAACTATAGGAAATCCAAGTCTATTGAAATTTCTTTTTTAATAACGGAAGCAATTCATATTGAGTACGATATATTTTGCTGTTTTAGATCCAGAACTACATTAACCAGGCCGCTTTGATGTTTGTTGCTCTTTGTAGCATCCACGACATATGTAGATTTAATATAGTTAATTAAAAGAAAATAAATTGGACCTTATTCACGAAGCAGTACTGATTTTCACAATATATTTTATTTTCTTAAGTATTTTTCAAAGCTATTGGGAAAATTTTTCTCTTGCATATCTTTTTCGAGCGTTTTTCTGCTTAAAAACTATTAATTTTCAGAGTCTTTCTGTAACGATATTTATCCAATATTATTTGAAGCGCTTTCCATATATCAGATATGACTGAAATTTAAATAACACTTATATCAAATGAGCGGATAATACGGTTGCCGACTGTGGGCCTGAAATGTCAACCGACGACAACGCCAGGAAAATTGAGTTTGTTCATAAATCTTTCATCTATGCTGCTTTATTCATGAGGAAAAAGGTTTTCCAAATTTTCTCTTTGAACCCAGGCTCTGCCGTGTTCTCAAGATTCTGATAGAACACGTGACCCTTTAAACATCTCATCCAAGCGTATGTTATGCAGATAACAGGTTATTGTTAAACAGTAGGAAGGTTTTCGTTGTTCAATTTTGTTCAAACCGCGTTGCGTTTTCATCTTTCAGCTTGTATTTGTAAATGATGGAATACGCTGATTCCTCTGTGTATTTTCCATTTACATTTACTCAACAAGACATTGACAATGTTCTTTACGGATACATTCGCACTCCAGAAAAAACAAACAATGGATTTGCATTGTCTGGAATCTACATCAACGCACCAAACAGTGGTAAGCATGCGCAGGTGACTCTTCATGATTGGTTAATGGGGAGGGCTGGTTGAACATTTGAATAAGTAGCGGTTAATGATTAACATAAGAAAACAGTGGTTTTAATAAGTTGACCGAGTTTACCTTGCCGCAATTTTTTAATGAAATGTCGTAAATAATCATAAATTTTGTTAATTTTGCCTGCGTTTGCTGTGGCATTGGTCTGGAAAACTGGCATCTCATCGCATTCTAAAACATACATAGTTTTGCTGGAGACAAATAATTGATTCTGCTATATTTCCACGAATTAAGCATTTGCATGAGAAACCGCTAAACTTCTGAGGCTAAAGATATGACATCTGACAGAATCTTTTCAATTGAAGAAATCCAGTGGAACCCATGGCTTGCCAACATTTCTCAAGTACATCAAGAAACAACCACGTGCCACCCCATGCCATATATGGAGTTGTTTCATGAAGAGCTGTACGTTCAAAACTTACCTGAGACTGTAAAAATTGTGGAGACAGTTTTACCGACTGGAAGACACAGAGCAGTGTTTTGTGGCCAGCGGAGGATTTCCAAAGGAACACGGTTTGGTCCGTACACGGGGAGTATTGTTTTACCGCTGGATTTGAGATCACTGGAAAAGAACTGCGTCTGGGAGGTAATTTGCATATAGGTCATTTTCACATGACGCCATGGTGACCAAATTGGTTACCAAAACGAAAGAACAGCGGTCATATTGATGTCCAAAGAACACAGTACTGTCAGCACTAAGTTTACTTCAGAATGAATAGATTTGTAGACGCCGATATGCGTATTTACTTGGTATTTTCAGATTTGATGACATTTTTATCACTTTAGACTGTAACAAAGCTAAAATAAGAGAACTCGAATTCTTTTATAAAACTGAATTTTATCCAATGAGCCCAACCAAATCTAACTATTCTGCATTGATGGAGCACTTTGTCAGTAAAAGTGAAAGCTTACAGTCTTTCGTATTTGTTAATATTTCAGATATTTCAAGACGGAGAATTGACACATTATGTAGACGGAGCAGGCGACCAAACAAACTGGATGAAATACGTCAATTGTGCAAGGCACGAGGCCGAGCAGAACTTGGTACTCATTCAAGAAGAGGGAGAGCTATTTTATGAAGTCTCCAAGGACATTGCTGAAGGAAGCGAACTTTTGGTTTGGTATGGGGATAGCTACCTTAAATATATGGGTATTCCCATCACCATGAAAACCAAAATGACCAAGATGGACAATGAAGGAGGAATCGGTACGGAATTAGGCTTGTATTTTATCATTCAAGTAACATTTAAAGGATTATGAGAAGTCGCCATCGAAGTTTTTCAGCCGGTCACAAGTTTGTTGGGAAAATGGTTGAGTTTGATTTTATGGACTTTTCTGCGAATCCCTGACCTCGTAGTGAGAAAAAAAATCCAATTTTTGCCATGAGAAATGTTCTTTAATGGATGTAAATTGCACAAACGATCGAAAGGCGTAAGATAAATTCAATTACTAGCCTATACGCATTTGTCTAACAGGTAATTTAAAATCTCACCCAAACAAGTTTATTCCAAAATAAACGATACCAACACCAATGATGACGTCGAGGAAACAGCTACAATTTTCAATTTCTTTCTTTCCTTCCTAAAAACTGATTTCAAGAAAGGCTTAAATCTATTCCTGATAATATGTCTGTTTGAATTCACTCTGCGCGCTGTCAGCACTAGCCACATTATTTCAGTAAGAAACTATGGGGCGGGAGTAAACAACGTGAGAGACTGATCTTGATATATGTCCCTTATACTAAAGGTGATAATCAACAGGTTATTTTTAGAATCAGGGTAGCTGCTCCTCAGTTATTATAGTTTCCTGTACCCCGCATGAGATGTTCCCGCAGGCAAAATTCGTGACATAGGTTGAAAATTCCAGAGACCATTACACAATCTCTGGAAACGGAAGTGAGCTATAATTTACTGACGGAGGACTTCATAGCGATGATGTTTCTGTGTGAATCTAGTCCTCGCTTGATTAAACTTAATCTAGTTGACTGTGAGCTTATTTCAATCTCATTTTCCATCAGGTGGAGACAGCTTTGCTTGTGACCGTTGTGGTAAAGTTTTCGCCTACAAATATTACCGTGACAAGCACCTCAAGTACACACGATGTGTCGACCAAGGTGACCGGAAGTACCCATGCCACCTATGCAACCGCTCCTTCGAAAAGCGTGACCGTCTTCGCATACATATCTTGCATGTCCATGAAAAACACAGACCTCATCAATGCAATCAGTGTGGCAAGCGGTTTTCACAGTCCTCGAGCTTAAACAAGCATTTAAGGGTACACAGTGGGGAAAGGCCGTATAAGTGTCCCTATTGTATCAAGGCGTTCACTGCGTCATCCATTCTACGGACCCACATCCGACAACACAGCGGAGAAAAGCCATTTAAATGCCGACATTGTGGCAAAGCGTTCGCCTCCCATGCAGCTCATGATAGTCACGTGAGACGCACGCATACCAAAGAGAAGCCTTGCATTTGTGAATTCTGCGGCAAAGCGTTTGCGCAGTCGTATGAACTTAAATTTCACATGAACATGCACACAGGTGAGAAACCATACACCTGTGAAAAATGTGGCCGAGGATTTTCAAGCCCTTCGTCTCGTGATCGCCATCGATCAAATTTTGATTGCACCACTCGGAAAAACCGAGCTCCGAAGATGATGCGAAAGGGTTCCGAAGGAAATGAGAGTGACTTGAATGGCGCAGACGCAGACGGGTTTATAGCCGAGGAGGAACAAGTTAAATAACTTCTGCTACTTATCTAGTAGCTCACAATTTCAAATATCAAAATTCATAAGAATTGAAATTTTTTCAAATGGGTGTAAAGTTTATCAATTCATGCTTGAAATAAGAAACTATCTATTTCGAGCTGTCAGTGACAGAATTGTCACCTGGTTGCACGCCGCGCAACCTCCAGACGGTTGGGTAAAAAAGAACTGAGAGAGACAACACCAGAAAAAGCAGACATTATAATAAAAAGAGCTGAAGTACAGAAGACTGTTTGAAGCTAACATTTTTTCAATTATTTATCTATCCATTTATTAATAACAATTTAATAGGTAATTTAAATGGATTTCAAACAGAACTAAAGTTCAAGCCACCTTAACCCCAAATAAAAACAGAAAATCATGTTAACTAGTAAAACAAAATAGAAATATGCCTTGGTTCCTTCACCAAGGAAACCTTTTTCAATCCTCTCAAAGTTTTAATCAAAATTACATTAAAAACTGAAAATTTTCGGAAGAAATGCATTACACATGGCATGATTGTCTCTTCCCACTTGCTTCCTACATGAGTGGTTGTTAGTCAGCGGTGCTCGCTTTTCTAATTGTCGGGTAAAGTAGTTTTAAGCGTTCTCTTTGCCTGAACTTCATCTACTAGATATTTGATTGTCATTTCCAGAAAATCAGCAAAAGAGAAAGAAAAATAAAGTTATGATAATCAAACGGTTGTTATTAAAATCGTCTTTCAAAACCAGATATGTTTTTAACGGGTTGCTTTGAGAGAGTTGGCGCGAAAGTCATGACGTCATGTTTCCATTTAAAAATGTGACCAAGCTAATCTATTATCCAGTCGGATAATGTTTTGCTTTTAAAGTAAATTCTATCTACCGATTGAATCACCACTGTTCAAGAAGGATTAACTCACTCAAATCATTATTAGACTCCTGATATCTTGTCTGTCAGCGCGGTAATAATATTACAATTTCTTAAGTATATATTAAGTATTTCAGTGACATGAAAGCGTCACGCTGTCAGGACGTCAACCATTTACATCCTGACATCAGTTCTCCATACTGTTCTATAGAAATTTACTGGGGAGCTGATAAGGAGAATTTGTTTATTAGTCAAGAGCCTCTTTAGTTGGTGATCATCTCCTTTATTCTCGTTACTTTAATGTTTTGGTTCAGGGGTTAGATTAGATGCTAGTCACTCTTAGGGTCAATGGGTTAACACAATCAGCGACTAAGAGTTTGGTTTTTGAAGCGCATCAAAAAATTTATAATCGAGGACGAACTAGAAAAAACCCAAGGAGTCAGCTTGTACTAATACTATTGAGGAAGGAGGAATAGTATCTTTATTTGATCCGCCTTTAACAGGTTACATCGAACAATGTGCTTTTATGTGGCCGACATCTATTACCCGCTCAATACTAAGACCCTCTGAATTTGTAACTCTAATTTAAGTTGACTAGCTTTGGCTGATCTTGTTTGCGATATCCCTTTAAGCGAAATGACACATCATTTTATTTAATTCTTAATGCCTTTCGTTAAATCCTTTTTTTATACTCCACCATAAGTGCCTATTCTGTATTTGGTTTAGGTTGCAACAAATCTCTTGGCATTAAATTGAAAGTATTTGAATGAGAAAAGCAAACACTTACCATGTACTTTATTACCAAAGTCACTATTTTAGTGCAATATGAACTTAGACTTACCACACATTAAGATAAGTTAAGCGTTGAAGTAAACCTTAAAATTTGGTTAATCCGTCAATTTTGCGCTTATAGATAAAGTCTTATAATTGGTTGGGGAATATCATGAATTTTTTGAGGGCAATCACTCTAGGCCTAACCTTTTAAATTATTTAATTTTTTATGAGCAGAAACTAATTCTAAGGCTTCAAATGAATAAAGATCAGAGGTATGGAAATATAAAAGTTAAAGAGCAGAAAAAGAACCTGTTCTTCAGTCTCGTTATTAGCTGAGGCATAATAGTATACACTTCTTGAAAGCAATCAATTTAAGTCAACTCTTTTGAATTAGAGGTTATGCAACAAAATTATCCCCACGGCGTGTAAATAAATAAAGCTCAGGTGTATGAAGTTATCAAAGGTTAGGGAGTAGAGGACAAGACAGGAGAGGCGTAGAGGAAATCCTTTTGAGGTTAGCATAGTTCGTATGGGACTACGTCCATCTGAATCCTTTTTATGGCCTTGATTTTATAGCAGTGACAAAGCTTTGCTTTTTCATGCTTTCAAATGATGTATCTCCAAATTAAGGATCAATTTATCGTACTTAATATATTTGCTTCTTTCTGGTTCAGTTGCGTTCTTCGAGACGATCATCTTTTTTTCCATACAAGATTTCTCACATAGTTGCGAAAAAGGTCGGAATGGTTTTACAGCCTAATTTTTATGCGAAATTTCTAAAGAAAAAAATTATTTTTTGATAAATTTTCAGTGAGCTACAGAGAACTTGAAAACGTTCTCGAAGATTCAGCTAAGCCATAAACATCCCACCTAAAGATAGCAAAGATATCTTTGAAAGAAAGATATTCTCATAAGCCAGCAGGGTAAATAATCTGATCGAATTTTTCGGAAGTGAAGATGAACTGCTATCACGAATAAAAAAATGGTACTTGCATTGTAGGGAGTTGTGGTTACAGAGAAACTTTTGCTATTTTTGTCTTTCTAACGTTTTACTTTAAAATAATTTATTCAGAAAGAATCATCAAAAGAATGAAGATCTCTTTAGCCCTAACTTATGTCATTCTGATCACTCTGCTTTCTGTGCAACAAACGACCTCTTTCATTCGCCATGGAAGAGATGAAATAACAGAACGCTTTCGACTCGTCGAGAATCAATGGCCCGCTAAAGATCTTGACCAAGCTGTCCCACATCGTAAGTACATCATCAAGTCTAATAGCCGTTATCTGTTCGATAATAATATTTGCTTTTTCAAGGTGAAAAACTAATAACATCTTTCCTTGTGGTTTTAATTTGTTGAATTGGAGATAAAATTTTGAGACGGCAATGCTTTCTGGGCCGACTACAGCATTAGGTATGAAATATGCAAAGAAAAATCATATGCTTATCTCTGCGAGTTTTTCCAAATTTTCTGTGTATCCACAGTAATGGGATGTCTCTATTTTCAGTAACACTTTTCGTTAATAAAAAGTCAAGCAATTGATAACCATACTAATATCCTCCACCTCAAGCAGAAAATACTAACAACGGCCGAGGCTGAATAGTGACTAATGGCTCTTTCATAAGATTACACCTAGTTAACAAGATTCAGATATCATGCATTTTATTTTTTCTCTTTTCTTCTTTATTGGCAGAATTGGGGAGAAACCCTCTGTGGAGGAGACGTTACTAACAATGAAACCGAAAACAACCGCTTTAAAATGTTTTATCAATGATGAAAATAAAATTTCTGCACTTAACAGACGCAGTTTGAAATAAATATATCATCCAAGATGCAAGAACGCAATTGCTCCGAAAACAGTGATCACACTGACTCTGACAACAAGCACACTGCAGGTGTCTAGGCTCAAATACTCCCTCTCTTTTGACCGTAGTAGTCACGTGACAGAGCTGAGGAGGGACAAGATAGTAGGTATTATAACATGCAATAGAGAACACAGCCAATCAAAATACAGTAAAAGCGTTTATCTGTCCGACGGTAGAACACCCGACCTTCCCATCGTGCACAACGATCATACTCCCACAGAAATTTAGCAAGCAGCGCCATCGCAGCTTACTTCGAGTGGTTGACAATAACATCTCTATTTTTTGTGCATTCTTAGTATTCTTTATTTTGATTATTTTGCTTCAACAATTTGAATAACGTTGTTTAGATCGTTGACAATGAAAAGCTAATTCAAAGTCATTCCACAGAAGTCTGCGAGTATGTTGATCGATCGTGATGGCTTGAATTTTTCTTTGATAGGGCATAAAAAATTCGTGCCACACTTCTCGCCGTATACCACGAAATATCTCCCTTTTTATCTATTTTTCTTGGTATAAACGCTTATCTTAATGCTTGTATGAATACCAAGGGAAATACAAGGGATTTGTGGGCGGTTCTAAAGTAGTCTACGAAAAGGTTTTGCATAACTAGCAAATTGTATGAATCTTTGATATCGATGTTAAATCTGAGGTAATTCTCCTTTTCAATCACATGCTGCTTTTATTACCCAAGTGGACGGCCCGACAAGTTTCGTGTTCGTTCGTAGCCAAAATATCAAGCAATGCCAGATTTGATGTCGCGTCAGACCTAAGAAATTGAGTCAGACTGCCGCCTTCGACCTCTAAGGGGCAACTTAATCATTCAACCTTTGATCTCCTTTGACAAGAAGTGACAGATAACGCTTTCAGAATTATGCAAGGATCACTGCATTTCCACTTTAAGCTTCTCTGTTGATGAATTTACAGAATAACATTTGCATACATAGCACTTTTCCAAAGAAGACGTGTCTGTTTGTTGAAGTTAATAATTTGCAAATTTGCAATATTTTCATCAATTTGCACCCTTTATTTCTTCACAATGGTAAAAATTCATGCTTGACTACTATGGTCATGAGAGCTTTTATGATAGACATTCAGCAAAGAGGCCGCTATCACTATCATTTGCGATAAGAATTTCTAAGATAGGAAAAAGACAAAAACAGGCCAGGTGCTGTTTTGAATAAACATCGAAGTTATTTCAACAAAAATCAAATAAGTTTTTTTCATTTTTCAAAAAACCATGTTATAAATATTGAAAATAACGAAATAGTTTTTTGGAAATGAATTTTAATAGACCATTTCCGAGTTTCCTTTTATGAGAAAGGGATTTTACTCATACGTAAAGCCGTCCATTTTTATGCAAATCAGAGTCATTTAGTCGAGCGAAAAGATTTGCACCCTCACTCGCTTCACATGAACCGTACCCACTTCAACGGCGACACTAAAATAGTGTTTATAGATCTATTCTTGAGCTCAAATTGGGTTTTAATATCTTTACAAATGGACGAAAATATGTTAAAACATTAAGTCCATCGCCAACGATCTTGAGCAGTCCGTTTGGAAGTTGACCTGTCTGCATTGTCGTGAATTAATGATAAAGAAGACAGGTCATATTGCTCTTGGTTTTGGATGCGATTTAGATAGTGTTTCTCCTGCTTGGAATTTTTCTCTCTGACACTCAGTCGCGGAAGTCGATCCTTGTAAGTATAGATCCTTATTGCTTGTCAAATTTGTTGTGTGTACGACATATTATCACCCCGAAAATGTGTAGAAAACGATCGGACTCGAGTTTAATCTTTAAAGGTACGCGCAATAAGTAATAGTTAATAGGGGATGCAACTTAATTTTTTGTTGATATCCACGTTAAGAAAAATATCTTTAATATTCTTTATCCTTGCGCCGTCTGCCTTAATCAGACTTTAACAGTAAGGAAAGTTATGTGATAACTGAGGCTACACCAAGGAAAAATTTAAAATATTTTAATTTGTGTCAACAGTCGGGTCGGCTAATGTCTCAAGAGCTTTTGAGGATGGATTTACGTAAATAAACCTGTCCTCCCTTAGGCTTGAAACAATTTGTGCGAGTTGGCCACAAAAATTAGGAAAAGACGCGTTGCATTAAAAAGATTGTTTTTGTTAGTTTTTATCAATACTTTGTTTATTTGTGTCTTGCTGTTGCTCTGTCTGTTCGTTTGTTTATTTTTTTTATCTTGTTTGTCTTTTTTGCTCTATGCCAGAGTATTTAATTCCTTCCTTCATGTAAGTAAGACCTTGAAAGAAGCATTTTTTCGGTCTGATTAATATTAATAGATTGAAGTTGTTGTTTTTGGTTTTTCGAGCAGAAAGTAGAATGGCTGGCAGAAATTTCTTGAAAGGAGTAAAAGCCTACCAACATTTTACCAAATTGATGTTCAGGTTCACCTGTTTTAGTTTCACAGTGTCGAATACTAGTCGAAAAAATTATTCAAAATGTGTCAAAGCAACTTTTAGAGGCACTAATCATAAGTCTAAATATTCATCCATGTTTTCTCTAGACAGAAAAAGCCTTTTTTTCACCATTGGGAAAATGTCACGAAGAAGGGTTGCGATGATTTTAGAAATGAACTGTCACCCCCACGGAGCTCTTTAAAGTCCTTTGTTTTATGTTAATTTAGATAATTTTTGAGACCTGTTATGGAACAAAAACTACCATTAAGAGAACAATGGATTCCGTAATCTTGCGATAAAAAATTTTCCCGCTTCATTTAGAACTTCCGTCACAAAAAGCATTTTCTTAGAGCTGAAAATTAAATTTCTATGTAATTGCAATTCAGCTCGTGAAATAGTGCACTCAAGGAACATTTCCAACATTAACTCTTTAAAACCGTGAAATATAGATTAGATGCACCTATTCACTTGCCAAAAGCAAATAAAACCATTCTAGTGGTATGTTTCGGTCAGCTTGAGAGCTTTTATTAGTATTTTCATCCTAATTTCTTGAGCTCAAGGGAGGCGATAATCCTGAGAATAGAGAAACAGCAACACAGATGTTACTAACAGCGAAAAACAAACAACGCAGAACACAGAATATTACTTGGAGGCTTTGTGTTGACTGAGCAGGCTATTAGCTGTCTTTGGCACTGTTATTATAAATAATAGCCTCGGTGTACGCTGGTGATATTTTCTGTTGGAGTTTTCCTTCCTCTCATTACTGGTGAGTACACAGCAACACTACCCTACACAATCCTCATTTTAAGGAAAATTTTTAGAAGCATATTGGAATTTTTGTCGCTAATGATTCTGAAAATAATGCTGAAAATGGCGAAGAAATTCCCATCTTTCTTTTCGTTACTAAATCAGCACTCATCAAAATGGAAAGCTCTTGAAGAACGTCATTCTATCTCGCACAGACTTTTGATCATTTAAAAGATTGAAAATTTTTTTTTACAGTGAGCAATCTTACAGCCTATAGGCTGTTAACATATTTTTCATATTTTTCAATGAAAACTCGATGATATGAAAACAACAGTTTCTAAAAGAGGGCTGACAAAAAATAGAACTTAGTTTTTGTAGGTGTGACTGAACATATTTACACAAAGGTGTTTCTGGAAGTTGAAATTTCTGACATTATGAATCACTTTGCTGGAAACGAATGGTCAAAGAAAAAAGAAATTTTGAGTTTAAAAGCAGAATTTCAAGGTGTTTTTTTCTTTCACAATCGGACGTATTGGCGAAAAAATTATAAATAGCAATTACTGTTGAAGTCAACACACGGCTGTTATTGACGAACGAGGAGGTTAAATTGGAGATTTTTTATGATTGTGACAGTTCAAATGAATTTTATATTCACTTTTGACAAGTGAATCAAACTGTTGAACTAAAAGTTAACATTTAATTAAATTTATCACACTAGGAAACATAATTGTAGTATTGTCCTGAAGGATTGCCTTGGGTTACCAAGATGTAAACGAAACAATTTTAAAAAGTTTTGTTACCTAATTCACTCACTGTGGTGAGATTCGGTTCATTTGAAACGTTTAGATTGGTCTTGGTTCACCTCTTTATCGTCCTTAATGATAAATGATTTTCTAAACACTTTTTGTAGAACAAGCATAGCTCCCAAAACCTTTCAAGCTTGTTTATTTTTCTGCTTTCTTAACATATCCGGCCATGCAAGTAAATTTAGAGACTTCGCTAACGGCTCTGAAAAAATGAAAGAAAAAATATAAAATGGCGGACCAAAGTAGATTGATCTCGAGTCTCAGTTAGATTTGTGATGTCATCTAGCCTTGATATTGGGATCATTGTCTCATATATATTGCATATATATATATTGCTGTTGCGGATAAAATTATTCATTTGAGTGTGTTTTTGAGTTTCTTTTGTACTATCCATTCAGAATCTGATGCACACCTGCACGATGATGTCACAAATGTTGGGTTTAGCTGTTGGACTTCTCTTTTTCCAGAGAAAGGTATTCAGTTGCAATGGAAATTGCTCCTGCAACAACTCCATGGTGTATTGTACAAATGTAACCTTGGCGACAGTTCCATCGAATCCTTTGTCAGATGTCAATGATGAGCAGCCTGAAACTGATAATGTATTGACAAGTAAAAACGTTTCTTCTCCAAAAATTAGTATTGCTTCGTCGTCATCTCCATCTCTCTTCGAGGAAAGCATTATTCTACAAAGTTTCATCTTCATTCTCAGTATCTCAGCTGTCCTGGTTAACACTTTAACTATGACCGTGATTTTTTCTAAATACCAGCTTAGGTCTCTCAGTACTATGTACTTAGCTGGACATGTCGCAGTCTGTGATCTCTTGATTGCACTTTATTTATTGGTTGCTGTTATTCATACTGCCGTCCTCTCCATTGTAGTTGAGGAAACAGAGCAATACTATGATATTTGGTGGAGATTTATCTGCCCGCTGATAATTTCAATTCGTTCCATCGGGCAACTCGTGGAGCCAGTTGTTTTGTTCTTCTTGACGTTAGATCGCTACAGACGCATAGTAAACCTTTCAAAGCCTCCTCTGCGCCACAGATCTTTCTCCATAGCAACTAAATTGCTATGGTTTTCTGCAGTTGTTGTTGTTTTTGCAAGTTTATCCACGCTGATTGGAAAACAAAGCTTCTCTGGAGCTTTATGCTCACGAGTCGACACATCGGGGAAATCTATTGACTCTTACGTAGAGAGAGCACTAATTGCAAGTAGCTCTATATTGTTCATTACGTGCTGTGGCATGTACCTGCGGATATACAGAGTGGTAAAAAACCAGAATCAGCGGATGAGAACACAAGCTTATTTACGAGTGTCTAAAGTAATATTTGTCCTCATGTTGAGCACTCTTGTGTTATGGTTCGTTCCCGCCATGGTAGTGGCTTCAATCGGACGTCAGGACTCCATGAGAGAAACTAGACAGCTGATAATCTTGTCTTCATTCACAATAAACTCGCTGGTTAATCCTTTGATTTATGTGTTTAGAGAAAAGAAATTCCAACGAGTTGCCTTCTCCTGGTTAAATCGCACATCTTCAAAAAGAAGAGGAATACTTGGCGTCAATAAGGTAACCTCCTTAAGAAATGCTGCTGTGATAAATGAAGATGATGTAACAAACTTTGGAAATAGCAAAATGACAGAGCAAGTTTTCACCACTTCACTCTAAAAATAAAACCAAACTGATAAATAACGAGCATTTTCTAATATTTATCCAAAGGAGTAAAAGACAAAATTTACAAAAAGGCTCCGTGCAGATTGAGAACTATCTCAGGTTGACTTGCAAACCTATTGAACTCTATTCATTAAATTAGATTAACTTGTAATCATAAATGTGTACAATTTATACTTTACAATAAACTTGAGTGTCCCTTTGTCAAAGGCTTGAGAAAAAATAACAGTGTAATTTGCTTACGCAGCACGTTATGGGTTTTCAACCTTGGAATTACAACGAAGGGATTGCAGCTAACTAAAGTCTTTCTTACGGCTTTCGCCGAGAGAATTCTAGACACTCATAATAGCAGCTGACGATTTATAGTAAGGTTGTCTCCGATGAAACGGGTCGATAGGTTCTGAATTTATTGATCCAGCATTACTCAAAGGCATTGACATAAAGCTAGAATTTTTATTAGAATGGTTCACTGATATGCAGTAAAGAAAGTAAGTTACATTAAAGACACTGAATCGACTTTTTCATTCAAGGTTGTAACCTTACTCATTCAGCAGAGAATGAGACAAACAAGGAATAAACCACATTTCAGTGGTGACAAAGTATTGTGTCTTGAAAATAAATTCCCATTTTAAATGAGTTAAAGACGCCCCCAGCTAAGTACTAAATCTGCCGTATCTTTATTATTATGCGGGCTATAAATTGGCGCTAAAATAATTTTAGATATTGAAATCAAACGGAAATCGATGGGGGTCCAGCCATCATCCTTCCATTTGCACAAGGCCAGGTTGTCACGTTGCGTGTACGCCTTGGGGTTAATTAAAACAAATTCCTTCTTTTCGACAAAACTAAAGTGGGTAGCTAGACATCTAATTAACTTAAATTTCATCAAGTCAAATAGTAAATTCCACAGTGTATGTGTAAAAAATTGAATGCTAATAGTATTTTTGAACGTTCTTTGGAACAGAGTCGAATTAAGTTTATCTATGAGTTGATTAAAGCCATTTTATGCAAAAGGTTTTTGCGCGTTTTGAGCAATTTCTGTTTAAAATAAAAGAGTACTGTTCAATATCAAAATTTTCCATTAGGTCTTGGGCTAAGAAGGTTTCTGCGCTACTGAGGAAGAAACAGATAATGAAAGTTTTTATTGGCGGCATGATAGCAAAAAGTCTTGATAATTACAGACTAGAGATAAGGGACAATCCAGAGACAATAGCAAAGTGTGAAAGTTTGTGTTCGATGTTCATATCAGTAGGTGAAAGTCTCCACAATATCGGCAGTCAATCTAACTTGTTCAGATTGTTTCTTAGAAGACCATTATCACTGAGTGGTGAAACAAGCGTTGATTCAAAAAGAAATTTAATTAGTTCATCAATGGTTTTGAGTAAAAATCCTTTTAGGCGGAAGAAAAAAATAGATCTTAATTGTTTGATCAGCTGAGATGGTTAGGCAGCCACAGGTAATTAGATTGTCGGCTTCTTTCGGCACAAGATGAGAGGATTTCAAATTGTTTTTCAAGTTTGGTGATCGAGTAAGATCAGTATTCAACTGTCAGTGATAACGAGAAAGAAGATTTACACGTTTAACCTGACGGTAGGTTTTGAATTGTATCACTCAAGTATATACAGTTTCAATTCTTGGTTTTCAAATTTTAATTCATTGCCCTGGCTCAAAAGAATGAGTCTGTGCGGTAAGATATCATAAAAACACCTACTCTCACGAAAATATCAAAACTTTTTTGAAACCAAAGTTTTATTCTTGTTATGGAGAGCAATAAATTTTAAAAAATTACTAGGAAATCTGTTTTATCGTTCAAATTTATTCTGCTCGTTTTGTTTGACTTTTCAATAAGAGATATTGCACCAAAATAAAATTATACCTATGAAAATTATTGATATCTATGACACGTAAACTGCTACTACTACTGTACGGATATAGCTATTACTGGAGGTAGTTTTTAATTGTAGAAACTTATTTTTTCACATCGTCTTAAATAAATCTACCGAAAGCGCAAATTTTCGTTTAACTATTGGAAATATGAAATCTGTAGTATGAAAAATCATCGAAATACATATAAAGTGTTCTCACACGGTGATTTAAGACGTTTGACATGGTTGAGGGGGCTATTTTAAGTCGTGACATAGTTACGAAGTGCAATACATCTTTTACCGTCTCCTCGAGAAACTTGTGACAATGGACATACGGTAAATAGAAATTATACAGCAACAACCATATGATGTCATACTTAGCCGTTCAAAATGGCGGCTGTTAGAGAATTTCAATCAAAATTGTTGAGAGTAATTCCCAATTCTTTGGTTTACTTTCGTGCTTGCATCAATCTTTATCTAGCAGATGTTCAGTTCACATAAGTAATTGGTGGCAAATTGTTTAAATTGTTTTGCAAATTGGAAAAGGCATTTCAGAAAAATTGTGATTCTTTCCTTGCTTGTGACATCATCGATGCCACCATCAGGTAAAGAATATTCTCAAGGATCTTTCGTCAATACTTCATTTATGAACCGGGGTTTGTATCTTTCCTCTAAACTTTTTTAACGAATGTTGACCGATATATATGCGTCATTTTCGGCATCAAGGGAGGGTCTTGTAAAGTTAGAAATTTGGAAAAGCCGGCGAGGTTTCATAATGTGGGTGAATAAAATCACTATCGTACGTGACCTTTTTATTTTATGATAATCTGCTGACCGCCAAGGCTACTGTGCACATCTTGAGCATGCGTTATACATAACAGATTGTTTTGTTTCAGAATTTGTTGGGCCATGAAGATGTGAGGTTAACAGTGGCGTGGCAGAAAAAAAATTAATAATCACATTTTGGAACAAACTTATTTAAATTAGTTTGAACGGACGATCGGTCTTACAAGGAGAAATTCATTGATAATTTTGGACTCTTTCAGTATGGAGAGGACTTGATTTAGTGAGCATAAATCGAGGCGAAAGCATGTGTCTCGACAAAACAAAGACCAGCAAAGAAATATCAAGGTAAATGGTGTTGAGAGACCAAGAGAACGCTCATAGCCAATCGTAATCGGTCTTAATTTTGCATCTGGCTGATTGAAAAGGTGGTTTGACGTATTTAATAATTAAAGTGACCAAAACAACCACAAACTGCTTTATCACTTTTTTGGTAGTTATGTTAAACGGGCGTTTTGTGTGAGTTTGACTTACATTTAGCAAACAGCTCGTATTCCCCATTTGTAACATGACTATTTTACTCTTAGTGATTTTTTTCGGGTTTACTCGATTACCTGCAGAATTGTTGCCACGAAAATCTGTTCTAAAGTTTGAAAAACCAGAGCTATTTAAGAAAGAAAATTATTAAATCCGTTTTGACTGGCACCCACAAAACACAACAACAATCGCTGTTGGTTAATCGTTCAAATAATGAGGTGGCGTGTAATATTTTGACTTGCAAATGAACTAATGGTACTGTAAATTCATTGATTGGTTTCATTCTCATTGGCTTTGCCATAGAAACTAATATCTTTCTCGGTTTTTCAGAGAGAAACACGCATCAAAAATGTCAATTTAAAAGTCAATGCCATAGAACACAAGGATTATCCTGCCCAACAGAAGTTGCTGGTCGTTTTGGCGTTTCCGAATTAAATGAGGTTCATACGTTAACAATAAGTTAATAAAAACACCACCCATCATACCTTGGCAAACCCACGCAACTCAGTGTAAATTATTTACATAATTTATCCAAAGCTTGTGTATATTTGTGTTTAAAGACAGAGATGTATTCAGGTGCCTTTTGGTATTAGAGGTGAATAAGCGCAAGGAAATACAATCATTTTTGTACAAGGTAAGATAAAGATTTGTTGTCAAAACTGAATACTCGTGTGTATAACAAAATTTTGTTTACAAATCAGTTTCCCTTTAAGTTGTAGCTCCGCTGTGTGTGAAACATCTTGCAGATGTTTCTGAAGATGTAATTCCATTTATGACCACCATGCATGCTTTTTTATAATATCTGAAGCCAGGAAATCAAATCCCTAGACAAAAATTTGTTCGCAATATGAAATTCACTGAATTTGTCTTCACAGGTATATCGTGAAAATTAGTCAAAATTTCGAGAAGGAGAATCCGATGGGAACACTTCGCTGGTAATCAGAATCTTTGATATTGAGACAAGTAGATTACAACTTTGAAAAATATCCAACTTTTATTGAGAATGCTAAATTGGTAAAATAAATTTTACCAATTTAAATACAAATATAATGTATCTCTCCTCCGGCGAAACCGTATAATACTAAGTCACGCACCATTGTGTTTACGATTCTGAAGAAAAGTTTCTGACCAGCAGATATTTCCTCGCTGAACGACAAAATCTCTCGTGCATTCTTACTTCCTGCTTATATAAAAGTTCGTTTACGACAACAACTGATAACGTTCCTTCCTGTTCTTCTTTGAAGACACCGTTTTGGATGATAAGTTCTGAGGTAAACATACACACGGCAGGCATGAACATCGCCCGTCCGAGAAAGGAAGATCTTTTTTTTCTAGACTGAAATGTTCCGACCTGAAAGATACAAAACTAATGAGATAAAACTGTAGAGAGCTTGGGGATTTTTTTCCGTTATAACTTTTTAAATGTATTTCTTTTGTTATCCAGACATCAATTCATTTTGTAAATTAGCAAAATTATTTCTAGGATACCAAAATTATTTACAACAATTGTTTCCATGTTTTCACGTCGCTGTTCGACCGCAAATAAAGCACTGTTGGTTAAATAGATAGCCAATTAGTAGAACTCGCCTTTCAAGTGTTGCGGCATACAGCGAACTCAATATCGGAGGTAGCATCTGTGCTAAAAGTGTTAAACCGTGTCAGAATATTGAAATATTGAAATAAATAACAAAAAAAACTTCACACTTAAGTCCCTGATAAGGGTAACGACAACTCCTCTTGCTCAAGCACAAATCTCGGCAGTAAATGTAAGTCAGTTGTATGAATTATTATTTGCAAAACGTTAGGAAGGAG